TTTCCAACGACAGTGGCCTTCGCACCAAGTGTGAGGAAGTCATTTAATGCAACAAAGGTTTTGGTAGCGTTTTGTTAGAAAAAACATTTACTTATTTTTGTGACATTGTTCATATTAGCTTTGTTTGGTGCTTGATCAGAATGTAGCGATCAAGGTCCTGAAGTCCTGGAGCAGGATAAAGAACACAAAGAGTGTCTCAAAATGTATCGAACGTTTGCTCGCTAATAACTCTCTTGTAGGGGATAGCTTTCGTGATGTTCAGGTAACATAGTGTAGGGCTGGCTTTCGTTAAAAAAGAATTGCCGACAGCTCTGCGTCTAACACCATGCTGAAACCTTTTAAAGACTTCTGCATCAGTGAGATACAGGGAGTCCCAAAAGTATGTATACACAGTTTGATCGTTAATATCTCTTCTCCCAAGAAGTATTTTGCTTACCTTCGGGTCACAGGTGCGATGGGGGGAGCCGGGCCCACCAAAAGTGAAGGTGGTTTCAGCTACCACTGGCCGGCCAAAAGTGAAGGTTGTGATGCCGGACGCTCTCCTCCAAAAACGTCGACGGGGGGGGGGGGAGCGTTAACGTCGGCTGAGCCTATCTTTCCAGGTCGCTGCCGCCAGTGCGCGGAAAATAAGCAAAACAAACGCAAAAAAAGGTTTTGAAAGCATATTTTATATATACGGCGGCATATATATTTGAAATAAACGTATTTAGTAAATGGTGTATTTGGAAGTAAAAGTTAGCGGGACTGTACGAGTTTTATTGAATAAATTTTGTCATAACGTACTGCGAAGGAAGTAGGTCGATCCAGGCAGTAACCGCCGAAAACCAGAATTCTAAAAATTACGCCATTTTAGCGTGTTTAATGACAGCTGCAGTTAAACTCATATAAATCTTGAAAGTGAGTGAAAATGTGTGATGTTGCGACTTTATAGGTTTTGTTGAGTAAGGTTTGCCTCATCAATATATCTTAGCCGTACCAATCCACTGAAACAACGCCGAGTTCCAGGGTCTTGAAAAAGCAGGTAAAAAAGCGCTTTTCGAACTTCAAGAGCTCATAAATTCTTCAGAACTGCATGAATCCTGTTGCGACTTTATAGGTTAGATTCTGCTCATCAAGAGCTTTCAGACAACATATAATATGTGGGGGTTTAGAGCCTTCTACTACTCATGCCGGGGGGGGGGAGACTTTTCATCACAAATTCTCCCCTGGCGGCCTCCATCCAATACATTAAAGTGGGCTGGGGGGAGACTTTGTGATAAAAAGTCTCCCCTCTCCCCTCCCCGGCATAAGTCGTAGGAGGCCCTAAACCCTTACAAGTTATATATCATCTGAAAGCTCTTGACGGGGAGAATCTAGCCCATGAAGTCGCAACATGACTCATATAGTTCTGAAGAAGTTATGAGCTGTTTAAGTTTAAAAAGCGTTTTTTTACTTGCTTTTTCAAGACCCTTGATCTCGGCGCTGTTTCAATGGATCGGTACGGTTAAGATATATTCTGATAAGGCAAACCTTACTCTACAAAGCCTATAAAGTCGCAACATCACACACTTTCAGCTGTCATTAGACACGCTAAAATGGCGTAATTGTTTAGAATTCTCGTTTTCGGCGACTGTCTCTCAAATCGACACGATTTTCTCACTATCTGATAGAGCACTATTAACTCTTCAAAACCTATGAAGTCGCAATTGCTAACATCTTCAACCGCAGGATTTATAAAAGTGGAAATTTCGCATAATTTATCGTTATTTTATTATTCAAAATTCTGGTTCTCGGCGGTTATTCCCTGGATCGACCTACTTTCTTCGCAGCACGTTATGACAAAATTTACTCAATAAAATCCATACGGTCCCGCTAACTTTTACTTCCAAATACACCATTTACTAAACACATTTACCAAGATTTGGACTTTCATGTCAAGTTATCGCAAGAGACGAATGTAGAATGTTGCCATCCCCTCTAAAAATACAGATCTTGGACTTATAATAGGAACCGGGATTTTTTCACAACATCGGATCTTCCCCAAATAGCTGGAAAGTCCAGAAAGAAAGAAGCCTCAGACGATTATCAGACCCGTATAGATCTCTCAGAAATTCACTGCCCCTGCAATGGCGATTACGTCGCAAATAAGGATTGAACACCTAAGTCACTGAAAATACAGCAGGGAGAAAATGAAGAACAAGCTGAGGTAGACCATCTACATTAGCCTCTGCAGAACTGACCCGTGACACGTTCGAACGCTCGCTGGTTTCCATGTGAAGGTTATCAGAAAGGTTTTCTTATCACCTGTGATAAGCTAGAAAAGTCGGGCACAGCATAGAAACTTCTAATACATAGATTGCTTATCCACTTGATTTAGAACAAGAACTACATCAAAATTCATGCGCGTAAAGATTATTAGATCAAGATTTTTTTATTTTATTAGGTCTACATTTTTGCTATGATTGCATCTACTTCTTTCGAATCAACGTCGAGTAACATAAAGCCGAACCGGCAGATGATGGAAAAAATTTTTCTGATAAAACTGACCAATTTTCCAAATATTGTTAGCCTTACTCAAATCTTTTGGCATGGGAGTTATTTACCATTTCTAATGCCAAGATTAGGAACGCTTGTCAGATTGAGAGTGAAGACGAGTACACAGAAATAATTAAGAGTACGGACGAGTAAAGATATACATTAGCAGTAAAAAGAAGGAGAACATGAAGAAAGAAGAAGAAGATGGTGATGGAACAGCCAAAAAAAGCGTCCCATAACTTTTGAGAAAGCATAGAAGAGAAGAGATGTGAAGGTACGGCACTGAGACAAAATAATTGAGTTCTTTCCTTTGAGTTCTATCCTGCGAACAGCTTCTTCCCATATAAAACGCCTTTGCGCATGTAAGCAGTCGTGCGCTGCTTTTCTCGACTTGCTGTTCGCTGAAAAAGGAAACTTCATTACAAACAACTGATAAAAGAGACATGAACTTACCTCTAAACGAAATCCTAAAGTGCGGTGTTGTGTATTTCGACCCACTTCCTCAAGCCCGCCCTCGAAAATGTTCCCGCGCCGATCGGCCGGCTAACACGACATTGTTCACGGGAACTTTTCATTTAGTCTAGCTTACGGAAACTTTTCTACCTTTGCCAAAGTTCCCAAGTTCCTCCGGAACTTTGCATCCGCGGCTCCCTTGACGTCATAAATCACGACTTTTTAATTTTTATACCCCAATGGTTAACAAGGTCCTTCGGTACTTCAACAATTTTCGCATGTTCGCCGGTACTTCCCGGCGTTTGTTTGAGTTTTTGAAATGGTTAACGCGACTTATTTTATTGCGCGCTTCCGGGCAGTTTGATGCTACCTATGGAACTTTAACAAATTTCGCATGTTCGCCGGAACTTCCCGGCGTTTGTCTAAGTTTTAAGAATGGATAACGCTCCTAAAGCTGAGAAAGATGCAGAGAAGCACGAAGCCAAGAAGAAGAAATCGAAGTCAGAGAAGTCGGAGGACAGCAAAGAAGAAGAGGAGAAAGCGAAGAAGATGTGGAAATAGGACAAGGATAAAGAAAAGCAAGATGGCGAAGACAAGAAGACTAAATCAGACAGGGCTAAAGAAAAGCGAGATGACGATGAAAAAAGTCTAGATCAGACGGAGACAAAGACCGAGAAAGGAAACGTAAGAAATATAGAAGGTCGAGAAGAGATAGATCAAGATCACGTTCTAGGTGAGCTTTCTTGGTTCAAGTTCGCACTATTATAACTTTTTTGCAGATCTCCAGATGCAAAACGGAAACGGAGTGAGAAAGATAAAGGCAGGAGTAGGAGGAAAGATGATAAAGAAGACGACCATAAAGAGAAGTCTAGGAAAGACAAACAAGCTGCCAATGATAACGGCTCCAGAAATGATGGCTTTGAAGAAGGAGAGGTAGTTTTAGGATATTCGTGATATAATCGTATAGAACAAAAGTGAAGTGCTCGTAACTCCATATAAACACTGAAGTTTGCTCTTTCAAAACGTTCTGCGCTCTCAAATATAGTATTTAATTATTAGATAGATACTCTGAATTTGCCACAATTTGCCAGACAATAAAACCAGAGAAGATTATACCAGTGACTTTCTTTGATTCATATATATTTAACACGATTTGATCAGTCGATGAGTTTCAGCATAAGCTTCGGAAGTAAAGAGGATAGCTTTCGATAACCAAGGTTCGAATAACCATGTTTTATTCCTGAAAGATTCATTTCGAACAGGATCTCTTAACAGAAATCCTTACAGGAGGAATCGAGCCAGTTTACGGGTGGTGAGCAAGAGAAACGATTAGTGGGCGGCGTGTCCGCGCATCCTTCACTCTCATTTCTGAGCATCCTCATGCAAAAATTGCGGGCCTTTCCCTCTTTTATGCTTTCAAAAAGTGAAGAATAGATTTTGTTTGCTCGAAAATGAGCACTGCGTAAAAAATGGGAGAAAAAGAGGGAAGGTGGATCGTGTTTTTCACTTTTTTTGCAGTAAACATTACCGAATTGCACTTACCAGTGGCTCCGATCAAAACTCAATTATGGCATTTATTTCAACTCTGATAGTCATCTTCGTTGTATGATACGCGCTTTTTCAGAAAAAAATGATGTACCGCCATGTTTTAATAGCACGGCTGGCAACTGCTATCGTTGACCTTGAACCACACCACCGCCTACGATGAGCTTTCTTTGGGGGCCAAAACACCCGTGCTAATCAAACATTTCGTCTCAAATATTAAGATCGCAAAAGAATATAAACTGAAAGCATAAGATGGGAGGGTAATCCAAACGTTTCAGAACCGAACACAAAGCGTTATTCATTTCTAAAACTATAATTATACATTTGATTTGAGCAAAGACACATGCTACACCGCATCGCATGTAGACATCTATTTACGGTGTTTTGAAGAGTTCGATAAGCTTTAAATGCAAGCCTACATTCGAAGTAAAGTTTATTGCACAACAAGGACGGATAAAAAGCAATTTTGCACACGATCTGTCGACCTGATGCATGCGAAAGAAGGTCAGGACTTTTATGAAACAATTGGACCTGAAGGCGCTGTTCGTAGAGAACGCAAGTACGGATATCCGTTTTGTGACGTTTCCCCAGACCGATTTCCCTTGCAAGCCAAGTTATCTACCACATGTTAGTTTTGCCGTTATTCGCTGATAATATTCTGGTCTCTTGCATATATGGTCAAGAAAAGCTTGATTACCTCACTGATCATCCGGGATAAGCCTTCTTCCTTTATCTTCCTTCTTTTCAGACTATCCACCGCAGCAAGGGGTGAAAGCTCCTGGTCGCTACGGCCAACTGTGGCTAGGCGCCCGTGCCCGAATGCAGCCAGGATGTTATCCTCCACTACAGTGGTCATCTTATGAAGGCAGCCACCAAATACATTTGCATCAGAGCAACAAGGACCGGATATTTACCCAGGTTATCGTTCTCAAGGTATGTATTGCTTTGAAAATTTTGACGATTTTGTGTATGGAAACTGCATTTTCTTAGAGTGTCAGGTTATCCTCACTTGCACGAAACCACATGTTGGCTATCCTTCAACCGCAACCAGCGCAACCTCTTCGGCTAGACACGGCTGATGCAGCTACTCCGCTATGCATCAAGATAAGTGTTGTTGATGATGGTAGGTCACTTGTTTTCTAAGAAATTGGTCACTTTTGCCTTTTCAAAGTTGATATTTAGCGAATGTGGAAGAGGCCAGTGGTTGATGCCCATTTCTCGTACATACTCAGTTTAGGCTTTTAGTGAAGGTGAGTGCGCGTCTACTCGTCTAAGTAGTGACTTAACACGGACAACCCTATGCATATGTAGCATTTTCGTGCTTGCGTAGGTATGCAAGCGCCAAATGCGCGAAAAACGTGGGGGTTTGGCTGATGGCTCGATCGTCAACGTGATGCAAGCTATTAGGGTGAACGGTAAAAAATGGGACACCTTGAGAATAATTGCAGATTTCTCAAGGAAGAAAAGTGACTGAACTTTCCAATTTTGATGGATATTAGAATAAATTATTCTCCTTCAGATAGCACCTATATAAGGTCATTTAAATAATTGATAATTTTTATACTTGCTAAAATGCAAAGTTAGTTACTTCGAGAAATTATGAAGTTTGAGCAGTATCGGCGCAGTGAAACATGTGAGACCACCCAAAGTACCGCTGCTGGAGTGAGTGGTGGGACAGTCACCAAACCCACGACGGCTTGGTGGCTTTAACTCTCAATGTCAGGAGATATGCCCATTAACAGCTTCGAAAATAAAGATACGCGTTATTCAATTCTTTGCAGGTAAACGCATGATTTCTAGGTATCATCTGATAGAGCTTTTTACGCTCTATCCATCCATATGCAGCTTACTTCAGATTTTATCTATCTTCGGAAAATATAGGGCAAAACATGATTTTTTGGTTTTTTGTTGCGCCAAAAATAGCTATTTTTCAGGTTTTTTCGAATTTTTTTTCCGAAATTGAAAAGAAATCTCATGCATTTAACATATCGTTCGAAAGAGCATGAAGAGCTCTTTCGAATGGTATGTCATTTGCTTTACGACTTTACGGTATAACAGCGCAAGATTGAGGATTGTGCAAAAAACTCTGTTCGAGTTCTTCACGGCGCCACGTGTAGGGTAGTGGAAGAGGAGCGTTAACGCGTTGTCAGAATAATAAGCGAAGGTCGCCCATGTAAGCGACGTTTAAGTTGCTGCTTACTTGCTATTGCCAGAAACAAAAAATTCCAAAATGTAATGAAAATCAAGCTGTCCCATTTTTTACCGTTCACCCTAATATAAATAGTTTTGTGAAGAAACGATTGTAAGTAACGATTCAGCGCTTGAATTTCTTCCTTTCCATAGCGTCTTGAACTACGAGAAGACATAAGAGAATAGCTCGTCGTCAATGTGTCAATGAAAGCATCATGTTAAATATCAATGCTGTTAAATTGACTTTGTTTATGGGAGTTTTAGGTAAACACGTGCCGAATACGAGAGCTATGATCCCAACCCAATTATAATTCACCCTTCTCTTCAAACTCCTGATGTCTCGTGAAGTGCCCCTACCAAGATACTGCAGACCCTGTTGCGCACCGCAGGAGTGAAGATGTATGTGATGGATCTAAAGAGGTGGGAATGGTGCGCAGGCTCCTTTCTGCAGTAAATTATGAGCTTTTGTGGAAGACTACAGTTCTGGAAAGATGAAGAGAGGTGGAAGAGACGACTATAGGGATTCATTTGAAGAAGGGTATCTGAACCTTGAGCCTTCCTGACTTTCGCCGCTCTCTTTTTATGAGTTTGCTTCTGCTTTCGTTGTGGCTTTTGCTTATCTTAGTTATTCACTTGCTTATAATCCACAAAGTATCGCCTCGCTCACATGCACTTTATAAGCTTTGCTTAGCGATGATCTCAGCTTGAACATGGGTTTGTAATCCTTTGTAAATCTCAAACCGTGCAGCGAGCCCTTGCATGTTTCGCCTGAGTTTAGTTTGTCACAAGATTTACACATGCGTCTCCCACTTGTATTGTAACAGGTGTATGCCAAACTTGATTCACTTGATGCAACTGATCAACTTGGTAGTCCACTTTACCATGAATGGATCAAGTGTAGCAAGTATGGCTTGTGTCTTACCGTTGCAATTGTTCGCACTTATATTCGCACTTCCCAATGTCGCGCTTTATGTTCATTTGCAATACTATCGAAAAATTGCTTCTATTTTCAGAATGATTACCAAGGCTCAATGCCACATTTGTCGTGGAGGACCATTTGTCCTCAAAACTCTTTACAATCATCTACGCGAGCATCTCGGATGCACTGAGGATGTGATTAATGAAGTAAAGAGTTCCACAAAGAAAGCAATTCATTGTGGCAAAAAAGAATTCGGGTGTGAGGCATGCCCACAAGTATTTTATAGCGCTGAAGGCCTAAGAAAGCACAAAAAGGTGGGAAGACGAGAACAGCGCTTGCACTTTGCGCCGTCCTGCACAGTCACATTGCAGCTGAAACATTCAATCAGTGGTACACCAGAAGAGATAAAATCCCCGGTCTGTCCTGAGAAAACAAAAAGTCTCCAGAATCTCGCGTTGCACTCTGCTGAGCACCATGGCAGTGAAGATGCCAGTTTTGAACTGATCGACAAAACTTTTCATTCATGGGAAGATTTTGAGGTCTGATGTTTCACTTCCTTTTGTTGCATCAAGCCGCATCTTTATTTATTTATATTTATTTATTCATACGCTCTACGGCGTTCCTTACAAAAAGAACAAGAGGAAAAAATACACACACAGTAAATCGAACAACCCGAGTCAAGGTCCACCGTGCCGTTGGGTCCATACCTTTAAATTGGTTAAGAAGTATGTTTGATAGAGCTTGCATGTGACTGCTCTGGACTACAATTGTCATAAAGATGTGATCATGGAGATGGTACCCATGCCCCCATTACTGCCAGCAAAACGTCCCTGAGATAAACTATCTAACTCAGGATTGCATGGTGGATATACTCCCACCGCATGAGGCTAATAGGAAGAGTCAGTTACTCGAGAATACTTGATTAATAAGAAGTGTTGTAATGGAACATTGTAATCGAGAAGATAATAGGTTGTTGCAAGTTGTGGAGGTGGTGATCCTTCATACTCGTACGCTAGCAAAGTGCTCTCGAAATACCAAAGCAAAGCGGGCTTGGTCAGTAGAGTAGCAGAAAAACCTTGCCCAAAGAATTCCGGGGAGAGACCAATGCTCCGAGAGAAAATCAACAAAATTCCGCGTTAATAACTCAACTAGAGCAAGTCAGCAAGCATTAAAGGTTGGGAAAAGGAAGATTGTTGTTCAGGCCTGCACTAACATGGTGGCTTGATATGGGTTATAAGGCCTTGGCCATACTGCCGGTGTTGTCGACACCGCCAGTGCTACCCACGTCACCGGCGCCGCCGACGTCACCAGCGTCACCCGCGCCACCCATGCCCCCAGCGCCACCGCCTTTGAGCGGTAACACTGGGAACATGAGCAACACGAGCAACACCAGCAACATCGGCAACACCGGCAACACGAGCAACACCGGCAACATGGCAACACCAGCAACATGAGCAACACCACCGGCAACATCGGCAACATGAGCAACACCGGCAACATGGCAACACCGGCAAAGTATGGCCAAAGCCTAAGAAATGCAGAAAGAAATAGTATATGTAGAAAGACGAATCTCAGTGGCCGTGTTCGCTCGAATATGGCAAAACAGAAGTCGGACTACATCGCACGTATGAGAATGTTGATGTTGATGCTGATACAGTTGATGCCGCATAAGGAAATAGAGTTGCAGTTGCAGTCCAGACGGTAGATGGAGCATAAAATATCAGCCATAATTCATACAGCAGAAAATAGTCACCAGACAAGAAAGCGCTCATGAGCCAGATCTGAAAAAGAAACATTAGAACGAACTCAAAACAGAGAAAAGACAGAGGTTATAAAAAAAAGGCTATATAAAAAAAACCACATCGTAGACTTCTTAGTTCAGACAGGCTATGGCTATGGGTTCTACCTGAATCAAATACATACAAAAGAAAACGAAAACATCAGCACAAGTACGAATCACTCTCAACAGATTTGGGAATTTCTGACTTTTCTAGAGCTTTCTTGAAAGCCCGACTAGTATTATCCGACTGCAACTTAGCGGGCAGTCGTCTAAACCAGCGAGCACATCGATAAAATAGAAAATTGAAAAGGCCAGAATAGCAGTGTTTATCCAGTCTAGGGTAGTGAAGATTGAAGCCTCCTACCCTGCAACTTACAGGTCTGAAGACCCAAAAGCTGCTGGCAGGAAGGTCAATCTCTTTCCGCAGTATCGCAAAACAAAAAACTAAGTCAGCAATAATTCTTCTACGTTTCAGTGATTGCAAACCAAAGAGTCTCAAGCGCTCATTGTAATCTGGTTTGGACCTATCTTGCATATTATGAGACATGCGAAAAAAGACCATCCGTGTAAAAACATGTTGAACTCTTTCAATCTTAACGATATCTTTCTTTGTGGAGGGGTTCCATACTTGAGAACAATATTCAAGATGTGGTAGCACATAAGCCTTATATAGTCTGGTCAAAACAACTGGATTAGAGGAGTGAATAACACGAAAGATTGAAAAAAGAATAGAGTATGCTTTTTTGACAGCAGAATCAATATGTTTGGAAAAATTTAATTGAGGATCAACAAAGACACCTAAGTCTTTGACCAGTGGGCAAGCTACCAAATCTATTCCATTGATTTCATATTTGTCTGGATTAATTTTGCCCAGATGCAAAAATGAGCATTTGTTCGGATTGACAGAAAGGCCGTTAGAAGAAGCCCACGTATTTAGTTTATTTAGGGCTTGTTGCATCGATGTATGCACATCAAGGAAATCATATTCATTGTAAGATGCATACAGTTTGATATCGTCCGCATAGATCTGGACATCAACTCCGTTCAAGTCAATTAGAGCGGGTAGTTCAAAGGTGAAAATCAAAAAGAGAAGCGGAGAAAGCACACCTCCTTGAGGAACTCCACTAGTGCAACGGTACTCATTGGAAAACGACTGTCCAACTTTGATGGTCATATATCGGTCTTGAAGGTAAGAGCGAAACCAGTTCAGAAGATTGCCAGAAATGCCAAACTTCTGGAGTTTCATTATCAAGACATTATGAGGAATCTTGTCAAAGGCCTTTGAAAGATCAACATATATTATATCAACTGATTTTCCAGTGTTAAGAGCTTTTCTCCAGTCAAAAACGCTTTTAACAAGATTAGTAGTAGTAGATCTTTTAGAAACGAAGCCATGTAATTGAGGTGGAATTCCATAACATTTTTTGATCCAAGAAAGCAGCTTTTTCCTTATAATTTTTTCCATCACTTTGACTGGAGTAGAAGTTAGACTTATAGGACGAAAATCAGACACTTTAACGGCAGTACTAATTTTTGGGATAGGCACAACCACTGATTTTTTCCATATAATTGGCACTTCCCCGAACATGGAGAGATTGAACAAGTCCGAAAGGGGTTTGGAAAGTACATCCGCACATTTTTTATAGACTATAGGCGGTATACCATCGTAGGGTTCAGTACAAGAAGGATGCAAAAGTTTTAAAGCAATGCGAACATCAGATTCATGGAAGTAGACATTATCACAAGTCTGCTGAGGAGAGGTGTAATTCAGCGGACAGCATACATCATAACCATTTGCGAAAACACTAGCAAAATACTTCCCCAAAGCCTCTGCTCTATCAACATCATTGACACATTCTTTACCAAACTCATCAACAACATTGGAAAAGCCTTTGGTCTGCAGTTTGCTTCGTATGTATCCGAAAAATCTCCTAGAATTTGCATAAGAAGACAACCGTCTTTCATAATTGGCCAAAAATTTTTTAAGATGAAAATCAAGATCAAGACAGACTTTTTTGTATAAGGCATTAGTCAAAGGATGCATTGAAGCATTAAACAAATTCTGCTTTTGATCTAGAAGAGCACAGATGTGCTTGGGGTAATGAAAATTTGATGGACTGTTGATGGTTTGCATACATCCAAATTTGCCAAGTCCTTCGTAAACTTTGGTACAGAATTTATAATAGGCGTCGTCAAGGGAGGTATGATTTACAAACAAAGAAGTCCAATCAAAAGTATAGAAATAATCGTTTAATCCAGGATAATCAAATTTGGGAAAGTCAGGGATAGGATATATCGTCTTAGCGGTGTAGCCAGCTTTTACATGAAATTCAATGATGTTGTGATCAGAAGAAGCAAGAGGGGGAGTATTTTGACTTTGTTTACATTGTTTTTAGTAGAGAAAATCAAATCCAGAATATTGCTACCATGAGTAGGTTCGAGCACATACTGCTTGAACCCACAATCCAGAAAAAACTCCATCAAGTTTTTTGAATTTTGGTCTATCGAGATGAAATCAATCCAGTTGACATGAAGGTTGAAATCTCCCAAAATAATCATATCTGCAGTTTGTGAGGAGGTGAGATTAAGTAAAACATTCTTGAGCTCATGATCTTCATATCTTTTACAACAAGGTGGACGATATATTCCGATGAACCTCACATAACTAGCATCCGAGGGGCACAGCAGGTCGATAGAAAGCAAATCAATGTCAGATACAGTGTGGTGATACACTTTACCGATCGATATATTACCCTTAACAATACAGCAAACACCCCCTCCTGTACGCTTTGGCCTATCACTACGGTGAATCAGATAAGGTAAATTAGAGATTAATTCAGAATCACTAACCTTTGAAGAAAGCCAGGTTTCAGTTATGAATACCACATCAGGTTTGTACAAGCAAAGAAACGAGTGAAGGTGATCAATCTTGTTAACTAAACTGCGGGAGTTAAATAGATAACATGTTAAATAATCTATAGTACCATGCTCATTTATTGGTTTACCGAAGACTTGCGGGGAAGTTCAGATATGTGAGTAAGACGCCCTTTATAGACGACCCACTCACGTCCTGCACAATCCCTGTTCCGCTCTCTCGCCTCTTGGCGCAGCTCATATTCCTTTCTCCGCTCCTCCTCGGTCATACTTCTACGTATGTAGATATTTGAGAAGCCAGAAGAGCGGAGAAGGTGGGCATTAGAGAGCGCCAGTCTCCAATAAAATCGACTGGGGAGGACAACCTTTACCAAACGGGGACGGTTCTGATTTGGCTTACCCACACGATACGCCTCGGTTGCGCAACAATCAATGTTAAGGACATCAAAAATATCGTCCAGCTTTTTGTTTAAGTCAAGAGCACGCTCACTGGCGCGCAAATTCGGCGGAGGTTCAGCTACACCACTTATAACAATGGTTCGCGAGCGTTTGTCATTTTCAACAGCACTCTGCACCTCTTGCTGAATTTTATCAGACAATACGCACAGCATCTGATCAATGACGGGATCCGAGTTCCTCTCCTTCATGGAGAGGATCAGTTCCTTGACGCTCATATGGGAGTAGTCATTGTCAACTGTGGTATAGCCTGGATTCTGTGTCAGATCAACTGGATGACCCACAGTGGGCTGTGATTCAGCACTTTTTTTGCTAACACGACTTTTTGCTAACACGACTTTTGCAGGCATCCCGTTGATCTCACAGACAAAAAAGAGGCGGGAAAACAATCAATGTTATGAAATAGTTCAAAAGTAGGCAGGAGAGTTGACAAATGACTCGTATCGAGCAAAGAGCAGGAGATACTGAGTTAGAAACCAGGTAGACAAAGTTCAGAACAATTACAAATGGAATATTAGCGAAAGAAAAGGATTTAGAACAGGGGATTGTAAGAGTGAAGAGAAGAGCGACCGCACGATGTGGATACACGCGTGAGAATCTTTCGCACTTTTAGTCGTGAAGGAGCGAGAAAGAACATCAAACATGGTCGACATTGGTGCAGAGAGCTGTAAAGAGAAAGAAAAGTGTGACGACAACAAGATATGTGTGTCAACAAGCTCGCGGGAAAGGCGGTCTAGTAGACGCTGAAGAGGAAAAGATACGGTATTAGAAGTCGAAACGAATATATCCACAGTGTCCGTGCTTTGCCTTGGTGGGTCAAACTCGTAAACGGATTCATGCGCAAGTCTTCTGTTTTTTAGGTAAAACAAAAAGAGGATGGGCAAGTATCTGTTGTTGCTTGCTTCGGACACATAGGGCACGGAATTAACAACGCTTCCACGAGGCTTTCTACATCTGAAGAAAACATAGTCTTGAATATGGTCAAGTCCGGAATACCAGATCAGATGGTGCATTACCATTTAGCTGATTTCTGCTGCGAGTGAAGCTTTCTAGATCGTAGTAAAATTGCGCGAAGAATTTTGGAATGAGGAAAACCCGCCGGAAAAGCAAGCGCGACTATGCTATCTCATCTCACAACAAGAGACATTTAGTAAGAGCTTTTTTCAAACACCATCAAGGAATTCAATGGGCAGTTTTATACGTTTTCACTGACATTCCTGCTCGTCATGGCGATGTAGCGGGCCGGTGGGACCCAGATGATCGTACTTCTCAAATCCTGTTGAGAAATGAGAAATCGATCGCCGCCGTAAAGTTAGTCGAAACAAACAAGGCTAGCGGGGATGGCTTTATCCTGGGTAAGATCTTGGTAGAGCTGTTTACTCAAGGTAATGGTACTTTGTTAAGCCTTCGTATCAAAGAATGGGAAGAAGTATAATACAGTGAACGCTTTGGATCGAGAGGAGTCGTCATGGATGACACCTTCAACGTAACAAGGTATTCAGCATTCATTCCGTCTTGCCTCCCTGATCGTCTTCGATGATTCTGGACGTGGCTTTCCCTCGGCGCATTTGTTATCTTTTCATATGACCAGTGCCGCAGTAAAAATCCTGTTCGAGCTTGTAAAAGTGGGTTTTGAAAATCTTGAGTCAATAATACAGCTGCTTTTAATATAGCTTTATAGCAGTGGCGTACCCAGGATTTCGGCTCGGGGGGGGGGGGGGGGCGACAAAAAATTTTTTCTAAAGAAGGTGCGTGGCGTTAGTCACGCACTCCGAAAAAATTTTGGGGGTGCTTCCCAAAATTTTTTCGGCCCGACCCCCAAAATCTGGAAAAAGGGGGCGTGGCGTCAGCCACGCCCCGGAAAAATTTTTTTTACAAGGCTAATTTGAATTTTTAAAAATTTTTAAAAGTTGTTTTAATTATTTACAAAAATAAACAAGTCACTTACACATTTTTATAACCCATATAAGTAACTTTCAGAAATTTCGCGACCCATTCTCGGGGGGGGGGGCGCCCCCCCCCCCCCGCCTCCCCCGCTCGGTACGCCACTGCTTTATAGGAGTGTGTCCCTGCTTTTGATCCACGTTATATAATAACGGATGACCTACGTGTTTTTTAACGGTTCCAAAGAGGTTTTTCCTCTTAGTCGCGCTGAAAAGATCCTTTGCGCGTTCCACGTGGGCCAAACTCTGCAAAGAAGGCATTAGGAATTGCTCAGGGTACGCTAGTTAGGTGGTTGCGTCTTTTCTGAAAGTGAGTCGTTCGCAGGGAGATGATGTACAAATGGCTAACGATCTGTTCAAGGCAGTTCTCTTCGAAGTCAATGAAGCAAAGTTCGAGAGCTACCTCTACGCTTGTATGTCTTTTCTAGCGTCCATCGATGCCCAGGACATGATAAATGTACGCTTCACCTCAAGTCTTATAGCATTCAATTAGAGAAGCCGTTTCAGTACATAAATCGCAACTACGCCACTCGAAAAAAGGAATGGGCATTATGCTACAGACGCAAAGCATCTTCACCACTTCGAACCATGCCGAGGCTTGGCATAATAAATTAAAACACGTGCTCCTAAAGAGCAAATAAACCGCGCGACTCGATACTGTTTTGTATATCTTGCTAGGGCACTCCGAGAATGCTGATCTCCAGCTTGTCACTTCGGTTAGCTTATTGCTGCCGCCTGTTATGTGTTATCAAATGTACAAATTGCAGCGAGTACGCGCGGACGTCTATGGACGTTCTAACAAGGGAATGGTCAGAAGTCGAAGTGGCCAAACCAAACAAGCTGTATATCATTCGATGTAGTACAAAACGCTGACTTCGAATCTGTCTTCCTTACCTGCTTATCGCTTCTGTGGACGAAGCTACAAGCGTTTTTATTGTGAAAAAATCATACATAAAAACAGCAAAATTGAGCACACTGTTGCACTTTCAGCTCAGATTCTGGCTTTAAAAATTTGAAGTGAGCTAGCTGCATGTTTTGGCACAGCATTGAGGCGAACGTGGCTCTGTACGGCTAAATTTTCAATTTTACGCACAATTTCTTAGCAAATTAATGGTCTTTAATAGGTTATAGCTTCATCCAGAAAAGCGATAAGCAGGTAAGGAAGACAGTAGAGTCAGCGCTTTATGCTGCATCTAATGATATGCGGCTTGTCTGGATTGGCCACTTCGATTTCTGACTATTCCCTTGTAAGTTCAATTTGTCACGACATAGGGAAGCACTAAGCTTTGCAAAAATCCCGGTACTGGTTTTTGTCTACTACATCCACTTTGACCTTGAGAGCAAATCCAGGGTGCCATTGTGAAGGTGGATGAACGTAGTTGGAAAATCACTCTACAACCCCGAACAAACAAAAAAATGTGAACACTGTTTGATTGTTGATAACTTCGTTGCTTTCATGTCTTTCGCCAAGCTTGAGGCACCATTCTATAGAGCGAGGTACAACTTAGATCTGCAGTATGGAGCGAATCGTCGATCGCTGTTCGTTACTGTAGGATTACGCTAGGAACTTCGACAAGGATTTTAGGCCATTAGAGGCCATATTCTCCTCGGAACAAAACCAAACAAGTCAAAAACTCTTATACTATGGTAATGGAAGCCGCTGATTTCGAATATGAAATTTCCACATTATTGTGATGCTTCTTTCCAAGGTTATCCCAGTAATAACTGAATTTCCAGCATTCGTCAGAAAGGTGATTACACCGTCAAAAAAGCCGAAAACACTCGTGAAAAGTTGTGTAATGGAATTAGCGTGCAAGAAAACCCTAGTACACGATTTTTCAGATTTATTGATAAAAATTTTGTCAAATGGCATATAAGATCACATTTCACAATAGATCCACATGCTAGAAGTTCATACCGTAATCCTACAGTAACGAACAGCGACCGGTGATTCACTCTTTACTACAAATCTAAGTTGGACCTAGCTCTACAGAATGGTGCCCCAAGCTCGGCGAAAGACATGAAAACAACGGAGTTATTAACGATCCAGTGTTCACATTTTTTTGGACACCCTGTCTATCGTCACAGTATCTGACGCCTGCGATTGTGATGCGGACGTTTCTTTTCTCATCACAAACTGATTTCGATAAAAAACATCTATTCTTACAGGTAAACTCCCACTGCGAAAGATATGGGGTCTGCTCATACCAGTTTCAATGTTCTTGCTCCGAAGCCTACAAAGCCGGCGTTTCCTGCGTGCACTTACATGCTGTAGCAACTTTTGTCGAAGAAGGTAGTAATATCCTATTTATTCTTTGAGATCGATACTTAAATCTAGCGTCCGCGCTTCACCGACCTATTCGACATTACCTGGCATCCAGCGAAACACCGCTGTTGCGTGAAAGTGAAAATGATGACAATTGCGAAGCCGGGTCGGAAGGCACCGGAACCATGCCTCCAGAAAGCATAGACATTGCGGACGAAGGTGCTAATGAAAATGAGGAGCCAAGAGACATATTAGAAGAAGATAGAACAAAGCAGACGTATCAGCTCGTTGAGGGGGTATGATCTGCCGCTGATTATAGTTTGCACTTTGAGCATGTAATTTAGAGAATTTCCGATCTTTCGGAGTTGATGCGATGTTGTCGTAGAGAAGGACAGTACGAAGTGTTGGAAGAGTGTGCGAATGCTCTTTAGGAAGTCATCAATCTTGTGCCTTCGAACCTTGGTTCCTTTTCAAGACGGCAAGAAATGCAGACCACGGGATCGGGGCCCAGACCCGAGCCTATACAGTTCAAAACCGTGAGTGAGCCTTTCTGCGAGTGTTTGCCATATAGCCTTGCTTTCAGAGAACAGCAGTACTGCGAGAGAAAAATCAAAGAAACATTTTCGCTTGATTGGACTTTGCCGAATCAAGGTAGACTTTCTGCCTCTTTCAGGCTATTCCGTTTCACTTATCTATTTACAGACCACATCAACTTCTTTTCTGCCTTTGAACTTTGTATTTAATACATTTGTGAATTGAGAAAACAGTCCACTTTTTCGATTCCTTCAAACCGGCGTGACCCACCTTGACACTTGCAAGTTTTAGTTCTCATTACCCTCGACTTAACAAGATTCTCAAGAATATTTTCGGCGCTGCCGTTACTGTTGTTGAAGTTTATAGTAAATTGAAGGAGAAAGAGCGAGAACAACTACGAGGCAATTTTGCATGAAACTATGTCTTCATTCATTCACACACCGCATGGTTTGCGATTTCCATATCTAGCAGGTTGGACTCGGCCAAAAAAAGGGCGTCGAACATTTGAAACCGTCCACAGTAAGAAGTGAGTGCTTTCTAACACCGATGACATGCCTCTTGATGTACCTGCATTCTCGGTTTACGCTTGCGTTTTCGGCTTTGTTTTCTGCTATTGTTGTCATCCTTTCTTAGTTCATGATAGGTAAATTTTCCTGCTATTGTTGTCATTTTGATTTAGTTCATATTTGATAGGTAAATTTGAGTTGATCTTGATTGGGTTCTGTTTCAGGCTGAACTGAATATTCAAGAGATGCTTCACTCATGATCTATCAGGTGTTGCTTCTTTTCAATATTTGATCGTTGTATTTGGGCAACTTTTTGCCACAAAAGTCCTTCTGACTTAACCGCATTCTTGTCCTAAATGCTGTTTTCATCTTATCTTCAGTCTATACTAACTCAAATAATATCACCTCCATTTTCTAGGCAATCACTTTTTTCTTCCTCCACCATTCATCGTCCGCATCCCAACTCCTGAACAAATTTTGCCGTTGACAAATGCTGGATAGGCAAGACCGTCTGCTTAAGGTTGTTTGAGAGCAGTGCATTAGAGTAGAGCATTCTTTTTATTGTAATACAGGCAATAATGTTACAGTTTGCCTTTGCTAATTTGGAACGTGCAGCCTGAACAGCCCGTCTGCTTCAGTAGCCTTGACTGAGAGGAGTACCCTGCTTACAAAAACTACTGTTTGTTTAGTAATTTGCAGTGATCGTGATGCACGATACGATGTTCTTTCTGTTGTTCTGTTCTGACCTGTTCTTTTTGTAGATTTTTTGCAAAATTGGTGCTTTTAGGCCTTTGTGGGTCAATCATAACGATTTATCATTGTATGGTGTTGTTGTTGTGCTTTGCTTACACAGATGATGATTTCATTTTATGATGTATACTGCAATGACCGATTGTGCTAATAAACAATAGAATTCATGCTTTTGTCCGATTGTTTTTCGAGAATGACTCCTCGGGCCTGAAGTAGAAGTTCACCGGAGTAGTCTCAACCACGGAACAGTCACTGTTTCCATTAGATTGCTCAAGACACGAGATAATGATCGCCGTCAGCAGCGCCCCATCGATTTAAAGGACGGTGAGGAAATCGCGGGGTCCCGACACGAACATCCTGATTACTGTCCCTGCCTTTGTTGGGGAGGGCCATATAGGGCACCTCCCTGTACATCCACTGGTTTATGAAGCCATGAATGATCTTGCAGATATTATACAATCAGAAACAACAACAAAAACAACAAAATTCAAGCGCTGTTCAACCCGAACTCAAAAGATGAGCGTTGAAATCTTGAGCGAGCGCGAATTCCAATTTCTCGCGCCTGAACTTGTGCGGTGGCGATATTACCCGTGGTCCACAAGTTTCCATTTGCATCGGAATATTTCCTCTCTGCTGGCATCTTCGCCAGATATATCTTCAGCGAGATGAGTGGAGATAGCTGGTTCCGATCACGATTCGAATGGCACTGAAGAAGGGGAAACTGGGAACTCCGTCGCAGATGAAAATCCGCTGAAACGTGAAGCATCTAATGATTCAGGTAGCATATATTTTACTTGATTCCTTGTATCATTTCCATCCTGTTCTGTTTTTGGTTGTCAATTTATTGTCCTAAGATATTCTTACTGTTATCGCATGTTTTCTGTTATTGAATGTTGGGCCTCGCCCTATTATCTTTTTTGGAAGAAGGCCAGTGGAGTGCTTCAGTCCTCAAGATTGAGGCGAGAGTTGTCAGTTTTGGGGGTAAACGCTTTTTTTCGTATATCTAGAGCCCATATTACGGAAATTAAGTGGAGATCATTTCCGTTGTTGTAAGCTTTCCCTGCTTGGAAATATTTGAGGTGATTTTTCAGGTTAAGGCATGCCTTGTAATAGTTTTTGGACATGGTTAACGCAACGCCCCTTTTCGTTATGTTATTGCGTTTTCGGATGATTACATGTTATATGTTACCTCGGATGGCTAGAAGAATTGGGCTGCGCCTGTAGAGGTTTTCGAGAACGCGGTCAATTTGTATAACGAGAGTTTTATTGAATTAAGGTGCGGTTTCAGTTCAGTCATGTTCAGCATTTATAGCCTATTCAACAAAGGTGATGAGAACCACTTTGCTCCAACAATCAATAGATTAGTGCAGATATTGTCTGCATAGTTGCATGTCGTTAAACTTTGATGTCTCGTTCTCAACGTTGTCTGCCATATCTTTCCATTCTTCTCTTTTCCATAATTTTCACGTTTATCGTTGCTTTTCAGATAGGTCACCTCTCCACCAAAAAAGAAATCCAAACAACGGAAGTGATTCTAAAACACATAAAGAACACAACGATGTGAAGAAGCTGACGATCCTAAGGCTGAGAAAGATGCAGAGAAACATGAAGCCAAGAAGAAGAAGTCGAAGTCAGAGAAGTCGGAGGACAGCAAAGAAGAGGAGAAGAAAGCCAATCTGGATAGGGAAGGAAAAGGAAAGGTGATGATGAGAAGAAATGGGAAAGGGAGAAAGATAGGAGGTCGAGAATAGATAGATCAAGACCACGTTCTAGGTGAGCTTTCGTGGTTCGAGTTCGCACTATTATGATTTTTTGCAAATCACCAGATGTAAAACGAAAACGGAGTGAGAAAGACAGGCAGGAGTAGGAGGAAAGACGATAAAGAAGACGACCACAAAGAGGAGTCTAGGAAAGATAAAGAAGCTGCCAATGATAACGGCTCCAGAAATGATGGTTTTGAAGAGGGGAGGTAAAAATTTTGCTTTGGGAACTGCGGCTAAAACACTTTCTAGGTTGTTGAACCGGCGCGTGAACCTACGGCAAGACAGCTGAAAAGATTGCGACTTATCGAACAACTTGTATGGGATAACGCTCTTCCTTCATGTTGAAATTGAAATAACTTTAGACAAATTGAGATGCGCCAGTAAATGAACTTGTATGATATGCTTTAGCTAGTTTCTTGCATAGGAAGTGCGAATGAGTCCAGTATTGTCCGAATGTATTGGTTTTAGGTACTTCTCTGTTATTTTTTAACGATACCACAAACTGAAAACAAATCTCCAGGTTCATCAGAACTGATGAGTCTTCTAGAATAATCATTTGTTCCTTCATACTCGCTTGCATTTTGTTCATTCTCATTATCCTTTTACATTGTTTTGTGGCTGTTATAGTTATGGATGTGTGCTAGAAGTGCTACCGTGAGGGCGCGTTGTTTGCAAAAACATTGGACTATAACGAAATCTGCCCAGACAAACACGAGTGCATCACTCACAGAGATATTTTCGTGGAACTCTATCGGAATAAGAGACGAATATTAGTAACTGATGAAGATAGTGTTAGGACGCCGCTCGTCCTTACACTGCAACTGCTTCTGTTTTTGATTATTTTGGCCCTTATAGGTAGCTATGTCATGTCGATGTCTCATAAGTTCAAGGCCGGTATGTATTAATCGCACGTCCGGGTAACTTACCCGGACGGGCGATTGATACATACCAGCCCAAATCTTAGACTAACGTATTCGGGGGGGGGGGGGGTATGGGCGGAGTCGGACTATCGGGTTTGGACGGGTACCGGCGCGGTCCGAACGATCCCTGACGACGGTCGCACTGTTTCGACAAAGAATAAACCATACATTGCTTATCCTGGGCGGGCGAATTCAAGAATGTAGAGTGAACGTGTATGTGATGTAGTGTGAGAATGCACAAATCGCACCAGAGGTATGCCCCTATTCGAGCGCTAGCGATTCATCGCGCGTTTCGTCGCTAGTTCCAAGCAGATCGCGACGATTACATTTTGCGACGATTCATCGCGAGGGGTATGCCCGGCCCTTTAGACCTCGTGTGTCTCGCTAGCAAATCCAGATGGGTAGCACATCTTGACACTGTTGTTCGTCATCTGGAAAGTTGTTTGATCCTTGGCAAGCGTATCTCTGTAGGCGTCCTAAGCTCCTAGAACTCTTCGGTTGCTCAGTAAAGAAGTGCGAGATCCTCATGCTGAATTTAAGAGCGCTGTTGTTAAAGGCAGTGGGTCGGCAGAATGAGACCCGTGGCAAAACAAGGTCACAGGGTAGGAGCCCCATAATGGAACCTATGGGCCAAAGTTCGATCTTTCTCTGCCACTTCTAACCCCCGAAATTTCAAAGCGAAAGCAGCGCTCATCTCCTGTCCTCTCCGAAACCGCCCGCCCCATGGACGAGTGACTTCCGCGGTCAGAGCGCCAGCCGCAATGCTATAAGCATGAGGTCCCGCAACGACTCTGCGTCTTCGCCATGACGGGCTTCGCGTTCACTCGTCCATGCGGTGGGTGGGCTCGGAGAGGACAGGAGATGAGCGCTGCTTTCGCTTTGAAATTTCGGGGGTTAGAAGTGGCAGAGAAGATCGAACTTTGGCCCATAGGTTCCATTATGGGGGCTCCTACCCTGTGACCTTGTTTTGCCACGGGTCTCATTCTGCCGACCTACTGCCTTTAAAAGCGAAACACTTTATCGGTCGTATTTGGCCGATGCACCAAGTGTAACGGTGGTTTCGATGCTATGTAGAACACATATAAGTTATAGCAGCTTTACTGAGACAGACATGTGCCCGCATTGGAGCAATTGTAGAACGTTTACTATAACAGGCAGAGCAAAGTAACATGACGTGCATCGGGCGAAAAACACACTTAAGCACAGCAGGTCATGCTTAAAGGCAGTGTCGGGCAAAAAATCAATTTTAAGATTTTTTGCTTACATGGGCCTACTCGCTATGCTGAATCCGAAAGTCAACACTGGCGTGCACGAAAATTGTGAAAAAGGACTCTAACGCAGGAGGGAAATCGCAGGTGGGTGGGCCGTTCACACCGTGACTCACTTCCCTGCTTCAGAAGCAATCTTCTCCTTTCCGCTAGTCGCCTTAAAGGCAGTGTCCAGGTTTAGACACATGGCTTTTTCGCCTGCAAATTGATGAGGGGGTCCTAACTAAGCGACTGCCCAAGGGCAGCGCAAATTGCTCATTCCCGGCTGAGAAATCCGTCCTCGAAAACCCCGCGCCTGCGCCGTGACCGTAACCCAAGGACGGTCTCACTCACTTTAACACTACGTTCGCGCTACCCATCTAAGTGTTACGGTCACTGCGCAGCCGCGGAGTGTTTATGGATGGATTTCTCAGCCGTGAGTGAATTATTTGCGCTGCGGTTTGGGGAGTAACTTATTTAGAACCTCCTCAACAGTTTCCAGGCAAAAAACCCATACGCCCAGATTTGTCTGGACGCTGCCTTTAACATCGCCATCAGCCAACTGCAAAACTGGTGAGACAAAATCGGAACCGACAAGATAGCTACTGAAGCTGAAAGGGTAGCGTCACAGCGTGAATAGCCCAGCCTACCTGCGATTTCCCTCCTGCGTTGGAGTCCCTTTATCGCCGTTTTCGCGCTCTTCAGTGGGAGTTTTCGGATGCAGCATAGCGCGAATAGACGATAAGCACAAAACTCAAACCGACTTTTTGCCCGGAACGCCTTTGAGGCGGTGCCGACGATGCCGACACGATTCTGATCACAAAATCATGGTGAATAGGGAACTGGCATCTAAGAATGGAGCAGGGGTAGGGAGATTTGCGAAAAATCGGGAATGGCACTTTTTATCATAGTATGTGGGCCGGGCGGAACCGGGTATGCCAGCATGTACGGTGTAAATCAATGAGAAAAACTGAACTAGTATAGAAAATGCGAACGAGCCCATTACACAACCTAATACATCTCATTTCGATATGACAGTGAGGAGTATTCTTTCCCGTTAAATGGGTAATATTACACAGAATACAACCTATACTGTTGAAAAGATGTTAAATTCGCCATTGAAAGAATAAACCAGGTTACAGCTCTGGCTGTACACGAAATGTTTTCCAGAAACGATGAAGGCGATACTGGAAGTTTTTCGTGGTCAAAGAGGCGCGGCATTAGTCACGCCTTCCAGAGAATCTGTTGGGATGTTTTTTAAATTTTTAGCAAGTCTATAACCCCACTTTAGGAATAGGAGTGTGGCTGCAGCCACGACAATATTTTCACCAAAATTAGATGATTTTTCGTAAGTTTAGCAGTTATTCTGATAATTCATATGTGGAAACACACCGCTTTCGCCGAATTATGACCTCTTTGAGATACCTTTGAAAACTTTGCAACCTGTTCTTCCTATCTCCCAACCCCCTCCCTTGGTCGGCCACTGGCCTAGCTATAATTGATAATAGGCGGAAAATATCAGTAAAATATGGAGAAAGCTAGCACACTGCGGCAATCTCGTCAAAACAATGACATAGACTCATTGAAAGTATTTAACATTCCGAAAGTTCAGTTTCAATAAATACGCAGAATATAGAAACAAAGAAAGTCCGACAGCTCTCTCTTCTTCCAATTAATCAGGAAATCGACTTTATATCGCTGCATAACAGTAGGGAATGTTGCTTAGGAAATGAATACAAAATGTAACTTCTGAATAAATCTGTAGTTTTAAGAATAAGAATAGCCAGTTTTTAGAAGAATACGAAGGTTACTGAATAAGTTTGTAGTTTTAGGAATAAGAATAGCTAGTTTTCAAAATAATACGAAGGTTTGTGAGATGGGGGAGGTTCGAAGTAGACAGCGTGGATTTGCCGAAATGATCTACCGCGTGGAATCTTCGATCTTGAAACCAATGTGTACTTCAAATGAACAGTATGGTAAATAGTTTTTCAGTTTCTGAAATAAGGTGCAATCGTAGCCCGAGTTGGTCTGAGGCAAATTGGTGGCATCAAAAGTGAACTTGCGTAGAGTAAAACCTTTAAAGTTCTCATCTCATTGCTTAGTTGTTGCCTATGTAATTTACTATTGAGTGATAGGAAAGTGGAATGAACGGACCTTTACTTTTTCTTTTTTTTCAGTTTATTTTGCTGTCATGCTACGATCACAACGAGTTTGGCACTACATTGTAGTATGCTCGCTTATCAGTCCATAGATCACCACGATTGGCTGTAATTGACCATTCTTGCGATGTTCCTCCGTCTCCATTGATTCGTATCTAGTGTTGATTGTTTACTATTTATATCAATCTATTGAGAACAAATGTCCAACTATATCATTACGGAGAAAAAAGGCAAGATTTTTTGGATCCGATTCAATCGTCCGGAAAAGTACAATGCGATAAATTCAGAGGTAAGTCAGAAGCTCGCCAGCGAATTCCGTTTTCTATGGAATTTTGATTGTGATGCATTTTTTTGTTTAGTCAGTCTCAAACATTTTGGGTATAGCGAAATGTAATCTGCATTGCAAGATTTTTTTTTCAAATATTACAGAACTTAATGTAGTTGCTTTGTTCAAACTCGAGCTGTAGAATGTGATAGTAGGGTTTCTATCTAAGAAGAAGTTTGAAAGATTGTTGCCCAGATAACTAAACAAACTACCGCTTTCCAGATAGAGTATTTTTTGTTGAAGCGGATTTCACATTTTACTAATCTTAGCCTAATTTTGGTAGCTACATTTATTCTTTCAGATGTATCAGTCCCTGGTCGCAGCTTTTGATGAAGCAGATAAGGTCGAGGAGGTGATGATCACCGTGATTACAGGTATTCAAATGATTCGCTTCTGTATGCTTTTATTGGGAAATTCATTTGTTAATTTTCAGTATCAGTATCTACAGTAATTTACACCAATTAGAAATTCTATAGCAGGCATATTTACATATTTCAGGTACCGGAAAGTACTACAGTGCCGGATCTGATTTTTCCTTATCCGAAATGGAGAAGATGAGGTAGCTGGTAACCTTGCAATTTACCATTCTATTGGCAACAGCAAAAATTTCTGGATTTTTAGCCAAAGAAGTGCAGGCACTGAAGCTGGATACAAAATGTGGGCCGACAAAATCATTCGTCATACAAAGGTAGACGAAACATTTTAACATAACCCCTGTTCGTAGGAAGTAAGAAGCTGAAATATATGCTCAATGAAATTTTAAGCTCGTTGTAGCCCTTGTAAACGGCCCTGCACTTGGAATAGCTGTGACAACGCTCGCACTTTTCGATGTTGTCTTGTCTTCTGATCAGGTAAGTACTGGTTATGCCGAAAAATCATCTAATATATAAAGAAACGTAAGCGCAAATCAAAAATCTGCAGCGGGAAACTGCGTGGTGGTCCCAAAGCGAACGCCCTTCCAAATGGCACCTTTAGGGCCGTATGCACTAACATCCCTGCGGCGAGGGGAGCGGCATCCCCCATTATGAAGGGGTCGCGTGCGGACGCCGCTACGACTTTTACATCATTGTGGACGTCGCTCCCCTCGCCGCAGGGATGTTAGTGCATTCGGGCCTTAGAATACTGGTTCACTAGGGGTAGGGGAACGATGGCAGCCACTAGTCCTTTTGCAGTGTCGTTGCATGTCGTTCCAGGACCAGCTGGCGAAGGCGGTCCAAACTGGCGGCTTTCCTTCCCCTACCCGTTCACTAGTCATAGATATAATAATCATTAAGCCATAAAGTCATCTCCTTCGTGTAAATGCGCAATACGCACTAGTGGAGAATTTTTTTCAGCTGTAAATCTGTCGCAGTCTTCATGCATGTAAATTTTATAGCATTAGAATGACGGATAACTTTCACATTTGTATTTGCGTGTTGGTGCCTGTGGTGCTGACAACATTTATGCGTAAAGGAATGTCGTGGAGTCTCTGAGGGTCTTTGATTGAAGGCTTATTTGTCATTTCATATTAGGTTTAAGGCGACTTACTACTGTCCATTTACGCAACTGGGCTTGTGTCCAGAGGCTGCTAGCAGCTATTCTTTTGTGCAAATCATGGGATATCAGAGGGTGAGTTAAGAATACAATTCTGTAAGTTGTTTGTAAAACATGGGCTTCTTTCAGGCCGTGCGTTTAGCACTGTTGTCAGAAAAGATGTCTGCACAAGAGGCATATGATGTCGGACTCGTTACCAAAGTTGGTTATCAAAGCCTTTTTATACTCTTGAACACTTTTCCTATTCAGGTGATTCCTCACGATAGATTCGAAGAGGAAAGTGGGAAGCTCCTCAGTAACTATAGCAAGCTTGCCCATCAGGTATGTCATTATGCAAAACCATGTTTACTTACAAAAATTGTTTTTGAGTGCATAATTTCATAACTCAAATGTGAGTTGCGCACCACTATCCACGTTAAGCGTAAGATCCTAGACTGCAGACAACGGGGTCGAATTTTTTTCGGAGAGCTACTTTTACGTCATATCCATGCTTTTCTACTTGGATTCAAAGAGTGAAATTCAGCGCAAATTTCCAGTGCATGCGTGCAAAACTAATAACATTTAGTACAGGGTGTCTCAAAAGTATGTATATACTGTTTGATCGTTAATACATCTCTTTCTGGAAGTCTTTTGCTAGCTTCAAGTACCATTTCGAAGAGCTAGCTTCAACTTAGACTCTTTATTACTGTAGGGTTACCAGAAACATTATGGAGGGTTCTGAGCCGTTAGTACCATATTTCGCCTCAACCAAACAAGCTGAAAACTTTATAGGCTATTCAGAGCCGCTCCAAATATCAAGATTGCACTTTACTGCGTTGCTTGGTTCATGAATTATGCGGGGTATACCATAAAAATTATTTTCTCTATTTGCTCAAAAATTTGATTACGTCAAGAAAGCTAGAAACATTCACAAAAAATCATGTAATGAAGTTGGTATGCGTAAAAACCCTACTACACAACTGTTTGAAAAATTTCGAAATTTCCTTTCCCAACGGTCTTATTCACATTATCGCAGTATGCTGAAAATTCTTATCGTAATCATATGGTAACGAAGAGCGATCGGCGATTCGCTTTATACTTTGTATCTAAGTTGAAACCTGCTAAAATGGTGAGTGAAGATAGGCAAAAGGCTTCTTGAGAAGAAAGATATTAACGATCAAACAATGTATACATGCTGTCGAGACACCTCGTAGTATACAACGCTTAACGTAGGGAGTATGTGCATTTGCACACAAGCATCATATGACTCGACTATACTCTAAAGCATAGGATTTTGCCCTGACCCAGATCTCCAGCTTCCATAAACGTTATGAAACCTCCACATGCTTCAATTTATAGTATAAACATACTTACATATTTGTATGCACAATGAATGGAATGAGCTCAAACAAGAAAAAAACGAGGTCCTAAAAGTGGCGAAGTCCGCCCCATCGATCCTAGGCTCCTCCAATTGCTCGAATATCACCTACTGGCGAGAATTAGTATAGCCGCAAATTTTCGAAGATTTATATGCGTTAGTATTCGAGATATTGCAGATTTAGTTTGAAAATGTCCGAGAACTTTTGAGCCAACCTAACACAATGGTATCCACTTCCAGATTTTACATAAAAGTCTTTTTTGCCAATCGTTTTGTACTAATAGTTTTACAGACTGTTTTATGAAAAAATATAAAGCCAATCTAATTGTTAATTTCGAATTCACTTTGCTATCCAATCATGCGTAATTGCAGAGCGTAATCGTATCAAAACGATTACTGCGTCCACAAAGCCAAGTCGATCACTTGCTGACAGTGAACGGGCAAGAGTATGAGGTTTGTAAAAATTTATGATTTATCAAGACGATTACTTGGTTTAGAAGATCACTCACTGAGTAACTTTGCACAGTAAGAAATTTGCGCAAAAAATAGTTGAGCTATGGATAAAAGTTATGCGTGTTCACTGCTTCAAAGTGATTAGAGATCTATCTAAACGCTATAACGCGCAGGTATTTGAACATATAAAGAACTCGTAATATCCTCCTACTGAGCCAAAGAAAGAGTTGTTTCTGATACTGAACCTCATAGTATTTCCAGCGTAGATAAAACAGTGAATACAACAACTCGCTGCTAAAAAAGCCACACTACATAAAACTTTCTCTTTTTTCGAAATTATCTTTTCTCGAGCTGCAGTTTTTCGATCGCATGAGATTTAAGAGTAATTTTGCTACTTCAAAATCGGTTTTCGTACAGCTCATTTGATTTCTCCACAAAATTTCACTAGTTAGATTCTGAAACAACTTTCCACCATGGCATCTATGTGTCTCATAATTTTTTACCGTTTTTACTACAACCGCCTATATTTGTATCTTTCGTTCATCTAGTGTGGCTTGAGTAAACATTCGACAGGGCAAAGCAAGCTTTACAAGATGGCTATCAAAAGCCTGCCCAGTACTCACCTGAAGTTTTAAGCTGAAATCTGATAGTAGTCAAAAACGAACTTTTCTATCAAAATTCGTGTCTCCGCTCCAAAGTAGCTACAAATTTCCCATTTATCCTATCATATGCTTGACACATCTCACATTCAATTATACACTTTCCGAATTTTTTCCATGGCTAGAAATAAAGAATAAAATGAATGAGGTAAATTGACAAACTCCGCCCCTAGACGCCGTGAGCTCCTCCCATGCATGTGATTATATGTCTCATACATGCAAAAGTACGATTATGTATTTGTATCCTTTGTAGGTGCCTCAGTTATCGAAAAATGCTAATGTTTGTGGTAAAAACGGTAAAAAATCATGAGATACCCTAATATGTTTCATGAATTTCAGGTCCTTATGAAACAGTTCGTCTGCGAAGAAACAGTTGAAAGAATGTTGTCCAAGTTCACGTCAAAAATCTAAAAAAGTTCTTTGGAGCGTGGTTCTGGCAAGTCAGATATAAATAACAATTTGTAATATTTTCTGTATCACTATAGTTATGACATATCTTGACTGATGATGATAAATCTCAAAATTAATAGACAAGAGGTTGTGTGAATCAGAAGATAGAAGACTGTAATTCTATACATTACTTGTTGAATAAAATAACGTTAATATGGTTTTTGTGTCATCCACTATAACAGCTATCGTTGGAGCTTGAAACTGAATCTGCCAAAGCATCATTTTATTTCTCTATCAGAGCCTTTCAAAGCATGAGCAAATTTGCTCTACAAATTACATCAAATCTATTTTAAACCTTAACTTCAATTCTACGCAGTATTTACGGTCTAATCATCGTGGAATACAAGGTAATATGGCTACCATGACATCTGCATAGTTAGTAGATATGAGCATCAGAAATCTAGGTGCACTTTTCAGTTGAGTATCACGGAACTCATAGTTACATGAGGAAAGCCATCAGATGATCGTTATGCATAAATCACAGTTGAGTGAAGGATGATAAGCTAGAAACTCTTATTAATAAAAAAAAATGGAATATATCTGCACCGAATGTACGAGGTCATCAGCGAAGTGGAGGGAAACGAAGCGAGTACGGTGATTCTGGCGTTGGTTCACCTAAATTACTGTTACAGCTACAAACAAGTAACAATAATTTACTGTTGGTAGAATTACGATGACAAGACAGTAAACTTTGGCATTCTTATTGCATAATAATTCTAATGCAGATTTGATAGAGCTCCTGCGGTGACGACAACATCTGCGCGTAAGAAATAGCGCACTTTTTTGGCCCTCATGTCGATTTACACGCGCAAATGTTGTCGGCACCGTAAAGGCATTATATTGACTAATAATAATATTAGTCAATATATGTGTTCTGCTAAGCTGTTTACTAGTGTATATGTTATGTTACATTACATTTGGGTTTACATTTGCAAAAAACAAACACTGCGCCAACTTTGATCCAAAAATGCCAACAAAACAGAAGAATGAAAACCGTCTTACTCATCGTTGGAGGAAATTACGTAAATTCTGCAGAGTGGATGCTTTTTGGTTTTCCTTGTAGTAAACTCATTTTTCAAATATTGGTGTTTTTTGCTGTGAAGTGATTTTATGAAAAAAATCCCCATTGTCGCGGCTCGCGCGATGCAAGCCTCTCCTCGATTCAGGTGCCGGGAGCACTGCATGCCGCCGAATCGGGCGCGCTTTTTAAACTCGCGCCCGGACCTCTCCCGCTTGGGCGCGCTGCCAGGTCGAGGGGTATATAAGGCCGCGCAGTTGGCGGCATATGCCTCTCTGATTTCCGACCTCGTTTTCAAATTAATTTCTGATTTCTCACGTTCGCCTTATTGATTGTGTTGGCAGCTAACCCGGCAAGCTCCCGTGGATGAAATCTTGCGAGCAAGTGATTGTACAGCTTTTGGATCGTGCCGCGCTAACGCGCGAGGAAAGTTTAGAGCTTTTGTGGAAAAGATAGTACCGGGAGTGGAGAGGGTCGCAACTTTCCTACGCGGAGGCGAGAGTAGGCGGTCGACCCAGGTGATTCCCCTGACATCGTATGTTGGATCTAGGTTGATGTTCATCGGCGGCTTGGGACGAGGCGGACTCGTCCCGTTTGTCATTTTCCTTTAGTTTAGGCGCTTTAGTAGTTTAGTCTATTTCGTAATGTAGTCTGTTGTTATTCAGATAAATGTTAGTAATCTAATCGCGCGTTTCGTGCTATGTATTATTGCCACTAGCGGGGCAGTCGTTGGACGCGCCGGAATGGCCAACCGGCGCTAGTTTGTAGGCAGTGAGTGCAGGGTTGTGCAGGCAGTCGAGCGAGGCAAGGGGGGTGCTGAGCCCACCGAGCCGCAACATGGTGCATCGACGCCGAGCGCATGGACGATGGAGGATTCCGTCCGCGTATGGAATGGACGCGCAGATCGAGGACGAACTGGACAACATCTGGATGCCGTTATGGGAACGCGCCATCCCATCTTCCATGCGTGCGTAACGGACCTAAGTCTACCACGCTCAGCACAATAAGAAGATCGAACAACAAGGACGCCAGAAGACACTCGGACGAACAGTGGCAGAATGCAGGAATGGTAGCCATGAGTATGTCATGAACGTGAGGTGGATAGGCAGCAGGATGGTGGCAGCTCTTGCCAAATTGAAACCTCAGCCGGCAACGTTTACTTCATACAGTGATTGGTGCCTGTTCGCGCTTCTGGAGAGTTTTTCAGGTAATGTGCAGGTGTCATCCCCGGCGGGCTCGACCACGGGAACCCTAGTGGTTACGCGCGCGCATCTGTCGAGTCGTGGGCCGAAGCTGGACGAGCTGTATCGGAGCCGTATGGGGACGCAACAGCTTCGGTGAGCTGCTATGGGAGCGCTGTGACACCGTTCTTTCACCATCTAGAAGCCTGAACCACACCGGAGATTTGGGTATTGGGGGCGCTAGCATGGGAGCGTCTCCGGAGGGAGTACTAGAGGGTCCTAAAATTTCGCGCTATTCCTACATTCCTTAGTTCTTTTCGCGCTTCACAGTCACATTTCGTAACCTTGTTTGTCTAATTTGGGCCCGTAGTTTCTATTTCTGCTTCTCGTTCCTCGTAAACGGGCATTCCTTTAGGTTTTAGCTGCTTGGGACCTAATTGTGGAGGGCACCCAGCTACTAAGGCCGCGCCCCAGTAAAGGCCCCCCTTTTTTTAGTCATTAAGGGTACCAACTCATCTGGTGAGTTTGTTGGCCAAGAGTCCACGGACTGGCCTATAGCATCCGATATTGTGGGTCGGCACTACCAGACCCGTTCTGGGCCTGACCAACAAGTCTATGCCCACACCCTCTAGTACTGGCGAGGCGTCGTGCGTATGGGAAGATCATCATTACGGCACGGCCCTCTGGAAAGGTGGTTCAGGAGCCCAAAATTTTCCTACTCGCCGATAGGAGCCCTGGATAACTACCGAAGGGCCTCCGGGCAGGTCACCATTCCTTCACCTTGTTACTCGCGCAATCACCATCAGCGCTTCGGTTTCTAGTGACACCCTGTCGTAATTGTTGTTTTGCGCCTGTAAGTAAGTAGCCCCAATAGCGGTTTACCCCCTTTTAGTTTTAGGTTAGCCTAGGTTGCACATCATATTTACTCATGTCATATTTATCGTTTGTTTGTATTTACATATTAGACTGTTCTTCTTTCTTTTTTCTTTCAGGTAATGTCGCTTCTCGGAAGCTATAAAGCCCGAATCACCAAAGCCGCCAAAGCACTTCGTGAGAAGATCCCGGAAGTCGATGAGGCCACCCTTCAACCGCTGGATCCTGCTATGGAGGCAAGTAAGGATCCACACTTTATTTTGAGTCATAAGAGTTCACTTTTTTTGAAATTTACTCTCATTGAACGTGCTATTGCGCATTTGCGCGCCCAGAGAGAGAAAGCCGAAGAGTTTGCTCGTCAAAATCCTGACGGGCAGGGCGAGTTTCCCTTCCTTCAGCAGATTCAGGATCACTGGGACGCTGGTGAACTGGATCAACTCCTGGAGGAAGCTGACACTCTCCATGCACGTCTTGATATTGCGATCAAGCTCTTGCCGAGCTCGGAAGTTTTGTATTCTATGCGTGTTCCGGTTGTTCCTCCTTCTTCTTCATCTGTTAACCTTTCTCCTCATCCTACCCAAGACCCCATCCCGACCGATCAGCCTGCGCAGGACGTGAGAGAGGAAATCGCGAGCCACTCTTCGTCTAAGAATCAGGATCGCCCATCAGAACCTGATATCGCGCCAGCTGATACCCTACCACCGCGCGCGTCGAGCGCCACCCAAGGATTCGGTGTCTCCCCCCATAACCCCCCAACTTTTGGCAATCCCTTTGTGACTCCTTCTTGCCCCCAGCCGAATCCGTTCGCAGCATCGTCTGCTCTCCCGAACCCTACTTCTACCCAATCGTCCGTGGAACAATCGTTGAAACTACCGAGCTTCGAGATTCCTACGTTTCATGGCGATATCGACAGGTTTTACGAGTTTTGGGACCTTTTTTCGACGGCCGTGCACAATAACACCAGTGTACCTGTGCCAGTCAAGTTCATGTATTTGAAGTCCCATTTACGAGGACCTCCTGCGAACATCATCGCCGGCTTTCAATCGACGGCTGAGAACTACGATGAAGCAGTACGTATCCTGAATAACACGTATGGTCGTCCGGAGATCCTACGCAATAAGCTGTGGGACAAGCTGTTGCAGTTACCATCAGCTTCTGATTCGCCGTTGTCACAACGCGCGACACTCTGCGCTATAAGAGCTACATGGACCCAGCTTCAACATCTCAAGGAAGACTCCAGCGCGATCGGCACGCTCAAGATCATTCGTGCCAAGTTCCCCCGGCGTACACGTGAGAGGATTGGCGAATTCAAGAACAAAGGAGATCCGATGTGGACGGTTGATGAATTGCTTGCTACGCTGGACACCATCATTGATAGATTAGAAAGTATAGAGGATGCAGACCCTTCGGATTACCACTCTTACAACTCCCAGTCGGCTGTTCGTCAACACTCTCTTTCTCCTCGAAGATACCCGCGCGAAGATAGGACAGGTGAAGCGTTCACGCGCTATCGCACACCATCGCGTGCAAGGCGTTCACTGTCGCGCACACCGTCCCCTCGCAGAAGACAGGATAGACCTCCAACGCCATATTACCCTAGGCGTGCGTCATATAGCCCCAGTAGATCGCGTTACGAAACTTCATCCGACCCGCAGTGTGTCTTTTGCCACAATTTTGGACATCCGTCAGATCGTTGCAGAAACTTCGATGCTAGGCAACGTAGACTGTATGTCAGTCGCAATAAGCTTTGTTGGCTATGTCTACAACCCGGTCATACTTATATGTATTGCGACGCTCCTCTTTGTCCGTATTGCAATAGGATACACCATAGGTCCCTTTGCCTTGAAGTTTCATCTTTGCCGCGATCGCCAACTCCGACGTCTAGGCAGACTTTCTATCAGGGCTCGCATAGATCTCGATCGCCCAGACGCGTACAGTTCTATGAGGAATCCTACGGCTCGTCATCTCGCATGAGATCTCGTACTCCACGCGCATCATCGCGCGGTTTCCAGTCTAGATCTCCATCACCATCTAGAAGTAGGTTTTCCCCAACACCGTCTAGACGTACTTCGCCATCTTATAGGTCACGCAGTCCCACATCCGCGGTACACAGCACCAACTGTACCTTTGACGCATCTCGTACTACCATGGACACGCAAGCAGAGTCATCTGACGATCAGTCACGAGCTTCAGGCGCGCATTCGCCATCTTCCTGTACGTCTGTTTGTCATGATCGATCCACACTTCAAGAGCCTCGTCTAATGGTAGTCCGCGCTGTAACTAAGAATTTTAAGACTCAGACGAGCGAGCTGCTTACAGTTTTCTTGGATAGCGGTTCGCAGTACAGCTTTATTTGCACTGCGTTGGCCAAACATCTGGGCCTAACATTCAGGAATACCAGGACAGTGACGACCCTGACGTTTGGAGGACATGAACTTACGGAAGAATCGTCAGAGGTCACTCTCACGCTATGGGATCAATATGAACATCCGATCCAGCTTGTGCTATGGACGCGCGAGAAGATTACGACGGTCCCCCGAACTAACGACCGCATCGACAATACCATCGTCGATCCTGCAGACAGAGTGGATGTCGACGTGCTCATTGGAATAGACAACTATTGGCGTGTTGTTGATTTGCACAGGAATGAGAGGCTTCCATCAGGACTCATCCTGTCACACACGAGATTTGGACCAGTTCTGTCCGGCATACAACACCCAGTTGTCTCCAATAGTCTCTCGACCGCTCACACATCATCGGACGAAGACGAGCCAGAGAACGAACGACTTGTACGTAGTCTCTTTGGACTCGATACACTCGGAATGGATGAAGGCGAAGATGTGGACGATGCCGAAGTCATCAGGCAGTTTTATAACAAGGTCGCCTTTGTAGACGGCAGTATCTATGTATCGTTTCCGTGGAAGCCAGAGCATCCCCCTCTTGAGGATAACAAACCTCTAGCCTTTCGCCGATTGCAGAGTCAATATGAGAAGTTTCGCGCGACACCAGAAGCTTGGAAAGACTACTGCAGGACAATTGAAGATCAATTGCGAATTGGCATAATTGAGGATGTCACGGATGTTGCCGCGCAAGGCTCGAATACGTATTATATTCCGCATCAAGCCGTATATAAACAAGACAGTTCTACCACCAAACTAAGAATCGTCTTTGATGCGTCGAGTCATCAGAAAGGCTGTCCAAGCCTCAACGACTGCTTATACCAAGGACCTTCCTTATTACCAGATTTAGTAGGAACTCTGATGCGAAGCAGATTCCATCGCTTCCTTATTATCGCCGACGTGGAAAAAGCGTTTCACCAGATCCATTTACATCAGGATCAAAGGGATTCCACAAGATTCCTCTGGCTAAAAGATGTCCAACAACCACCATCGACGGACAATCTTCGCATACTACGCTTCACACGCGTGCCGTTTGGTATTAATGCATCACCTTTCCTACTCAGCATGTCCATCAGATACTTTTTGGAACAGGATCCGGCAAATCGTCTCAAAGAAGAGATCCTTGCTAACACTTACGTAGATAATCTCATTGTCGGAGCGGATTCCAACCATGAATGCTTGGACAAGTGTAAGCAATGCAAGGAAATCTTCGCGCGAATGTCCATGAACCTACGCGAGTTCATGTCGAACAGTGAGAGTACGATGCGCTCGATTCCTGAACACGATCGCATGACAATAGACGGACCATTCGCCAAATTCCTAGGGATCAAATGGAATCCTAAGCTCGACGTACTTCACGTGCCTATTAACATCGCGCGTCAACCAGTGACGAGCAAGAGGACTGCATTGAGAGTTTATGCGTCTACGTTTGATCCTTTAGGACTACTAACACCGCTGTTGATAAGACCTAAGATGTTCATACAAGACTTGTGGGAGTCTGGTTATGACTGGGATGACCCTCTTACCGAGGCAGATATTGAGAAATGGAATACCATCGTGCAGGAGATAAGTGACTTTCACTCGCAAATCCCGCGCTATCTTGGAGTTACTTGTGACAATGCTTACGATTTGGTCCTTTGTTCGGACGCGTCTAAGCGAGTCTATGCTACCGCTGCTTACATCTTGACGCGTCACTCGAACGATAGTCCAAGACCAACACTGCTCTTCGCGAAAGCGAAGTTAGCTCCTCCAGGCGCGATCACCATCCCGCGCATGGAACTCTCAGCTTGTCTCACATGACAGCCAAGACCGCGAAGTTCCTTAGAAGCCAGTGTAAAGTCAGCTTTCAGTCAGTCAGATTTCTTACCGACTCCCAGATAGTTTTGTACTGGATTCAGTCGCGCAAGCCGCTCAAGACTTACGTTGCAAACCGCGTTAGATACATCCGTCGCGTGCTCGACGAGTTGAGAGCGGACAACATCGCCACCGGATTTTACTACCTGAACACGGACAACAACCCGGCGGACTGTGCCACCCGTGGACTAACAGCCACAGAGCTCCAAGACCATCTATGGTGGACAGGCCCAAGCTTCTTCGCGACCCCTTCTTCACAGTGGCCCTGGAAGAGTCTTGAACCATCAGTCAGTTCGCTACCAGGTGCAGAAGCAGAAGAGCTTAAGGCGGTCACAACCTCGACAAATACCATCTCCGAACTTTATGTATTCTTCGTGCCTTTTACGCGCACCAACTCGTACACTAAGCTGGTCCGCGTTACAGCATACGTCCTTAAGTTTTTGGCTAGAGTGCGTCATCGAGTCGAGACGCGCTGCCATCGCGAACATCAGGACGTGCAATCAATTTTAGGCACGATGGACATAACACCCGTTGTAACACCAGACGACTTTACGACGGCTGAATCGTTGCTCATACGTGAGCACTACAGAGAAGGCCAGCAAGAGTTGAACAGTTCATATATGAAGAAGTTTCGCACGACGTGCGACAACGACGGCATTATCAGAGTGGATAGGCGCATGTCTAACGCGCAGACCGACAATTCTACTAACCCCATCCTTATGTCGGATCATCCTCTCTGTTATATGCTGATCATGTACCATCATTGCCAGCTATTTCACGCTGGATCGTCCCATTTGATAACCACCTTGCGCCAAAGCTTCTTCATACCTAAGCTAAAACGTTTGGTCAAGTCCGTTATTTCCAGATGTGTGATTTGCAGAAGGTATCAAGCCCGTCCATATAAGTATCCGTACGCGCCGGACCTTCCATCACAGAGGGTAACTAGGAGTTGCCCATTCCAGCACATCGGCCTTGACTACTTTGGACCCATTCTTGTTCGCTTGCAGTCATCTGAGCGTCAAAAAGTGTGGATTTGTCTTTTTACGTGCATGTCAACGCGCGCAATCCATCTAGAAATGGTAAGAGACAATTCTACTTTACAGTTTATACTAGCTTTCAGGAGATTCATGGCACGTCGAGGAAAACCGGATACAGTAACGTGCGACAACGCGCCTACCTTCAAGCTAGGACAGGAAATTATCAAGAATGAGTTGCCAACAGTGAAGGACGACAGCCAGATGAATCAACTTTGTGCCAGCCACAACATCAAATGGACATTCATCACTCCGTACTCGCCATGGAAAGGAGGATTTTATGAACGATTAGTCGGATCGGTTAAGAGCGCGCTGAAGAAGACGGTGCGGAATCAAACACTGGACATTTGGCTACTGGAAACCCTTATCATCGAGATCGAGGCAATTCTCAACACCAGACCTCTCTTTCCGGTGAACTCATCCGATCCGGATACGAACGTGGCCATAAGACCTATTGACTTGATCACCACGGATTTTCAAGTGGCACGGTTGACCGGCAGCATGCCCCAGAAGATCGCTAATGCGACGAACGAGAGCTATCGAGCACTCCGTACGCGCTACAAGTCTCTGCAAGAAGATCTAGATCATTTTTGGCAGCTTTGGCACAGTGACTATCTTGATGTCTTAGCGCAGAGACAGATCGTACGCTCGAACGGTCAGTCTAGCAGGAAACCACCCCGAGTAGGAGAAGTAGTGCTCGTCAGACAGGACGCGCATCGATCAACTTGGCCACTAGCACTCATCCTGGAACTTCACACATCATCCGATGGCAACGTAAGATTAGCCAAGATCCGGACAGCCAAAAAGAAGATACTAGAACGCTCAATCAACCATCTGGTACCTCTGGAGATAGTGGCAGATGACGATACCATCCCTGAGAGAGATCACGAGCACTTTGCAGTAAAGGATACCCCTTCTAGAACATCTTAGGAGTGAGCACAGCCGTAAAGCAGGTACAAATATTGATCTACCTTGATTTCCTTTCTTTCGATCCTTTTTCTCTTTCTTTCTTAGTTATTATATACTCCTTTCTCTATACATGAGCGCTACAGGCGCGCATTGATGAGCGATGAGATTATTTTTCTTTGTCTAAGCCCATCTTTAGACTGCGCAGGGTCCCGGCACGAATCGTCGTCAGGCAGCGCGCGATTGTCAACCTAGTCGCAAGATGCAATTCGCTCATTACGAAACCTTATTGATCGCATAATGCTCATCATAGGCTCCCTTGTATAAGTTTATAGTTTCTCTTGTATTTTCTTGTAGATTCAGCATTTTTTCGTATGTGCACCCGTTTTACATGCCTTGTATGTACCTCTTTACTGTGAACTTGTTTAGTGTCAACTCGTGCTCACTTGTCAGTACCACTGTCAATAAAGTTAACCAGCTGTCATCTATCGGACTATCGAGACCCCGAGCAAGGACCTTCTACGAGGGAACAATACAAGTAAGAAGCTTAGTAAAAATCCTTCATTTTTTCAATCCTCTTTTTATCTTGGGGCTTCCACTTGTTGCGCGCACATTTTGCGCCCCTTCAAAATATAACGCGCACAGTCTTTTTTACCAAAACATTCTAACAATTTTTACACCAAAACTTCTATCAATTTTTTTTGTTTCTCAAACTCTTCTTTCTTGCATTGAGCCCTCACTTTTCATTATTGCTACACACATTTTAAATCATTAGCGCATTTTCCAGCTGCGCCGTACGTACTTGTACCGTGTCGCCATCATGAAGCGTTCGTCATCCTCGTTGCTGTCGCGCACGGCAAGCTCTAGCGCGCAACTGCGTAGCCCCTCGCCACTTGCGTCTACCTCTAGCGCAGACACTGCAGCATCCTCTAGCGAATCAGTCGGGCAGTTGATCATCTTCGAAGCACGACGTCTACTAGCGCATTGCGAAGACAGTTTGGAGCTGAGAGGGATCCTGGACGACATTTGCAAGAAGCAGCGCGATTTGCAATCCCGCGTATCCAGCGATCCTAACTTAAGACCCTTGCAGCCCAACCCAGCGCCGAACGCGTATGCGCATGTCATCCCTGCCTTGCAAGATGTCGTTGAAGTGTTGCCACATACGGTAGAGGAACTTACCGCTGCGCAGCTACGCAGAGTTTTCGCGTTTATCACTACGTCTGGTCGCGCGCAGCCAGAGCCGCAAGCCGTAGATACTACGCTCCTAACACCTGAGCAACAGCGCCACATCGCGCGTATCGTTTTTCATGTGCGTAAGCTTGCAGCTGTGTTGGATTGCGCCAATAACATCTTTCTCAATACACAGACCTTGCTGCTGCGCCCGGACAAAGCTAGCATATCATACGCGAGGTACATGGCGTACATTCACATAATTCAGCACATCATCACAGGCATCACGGTACACCGCGACATCATCAGTGAGGCTTTACTATCGCACTTTTTTACGCGCTCGCAATCGTTTCTTGACGCGCTAGTTGGTTGCCAGATTAGCGAAAGCGTAATCATGGAAACGCTTATGGCCGCGTCAGCCGCAGTTGCGCATGCTACCCGTCTTACGCGCACGCTTGAGTACTATCAGATGGAATTCGTCATGACGCATCTACGCCAGAAAGTCACCAAGATCGACAAGCAGTATACGCAGCTCGCATTCCCACCGCTTCAGATCCCCTTCGTACCGACCACCTACATCCAGGTACTTAGATGGTGGCAGGAAAACTACGAGGAACAACTCCATGGTCCGCTTACCGAAGACTATCTGGAAATTGCGCATAGTGAAGATCCATTCGCGCAACAACAAAAGGAGCGATTTGTACGAGTAGAATTTGATAGTGATCAGCCTCAAGTTGCCACAACACCAGCCGCGTCTAACATCAGCGCGTTATCGCCAACCCAGCCAATGCAGACAGAAGACGCCATCCGAGGCACCCAAGCACCGCAGTCTCCAACACCTTCGCCATCTGAGAGTCACTCGAGTCCAGTAATTATACCATTGACGCGTATGTCAACGCCAGTCACAGAGTTTGAGGAGAACCAGTCCATTCCACCAATCCTTTCGCCTCAGGCTAGTCCTGTCGCGCGGGAGGGCGGACTAGAGTCCTCTCAGCAACTCGAGGCGGCCGGACCTAGTTCGGCATCTACTGGACGGCGTGGAGTCTTACCGCCATGTGTTTTTTGCGAAGGCTATGAACACTTCAGCGCCGAATGCAGTATAGTAACATCCATGTCTAAAAGGATTGAAGTTGCGCTGGAGAAAGGAATTTGTTCGGTATGTCTCAAGAAGCATCACGGAAAATGCAAGAAGCGATACTATTGTTGGAACTGCGGAGGAGAACGTCACCATCGCGCCTTTTGTATGCAAAACATCCAAATTGTGCGTGATATGGATTGGTCCGCAACATATGAAGATTTTTATGGGCTGGACGCAAATACCCATCCCCCAATGCCATCTGGGAGTTTTGCTTTGCCGCGCGCTGAAACATTGCAGCCTCCCCGCCGCGCGCGCGAATAATGTAGAGGGCGAGCCCGTGTGTGACGGTAGTGAGTGGAACGATGGAAAACGGTTAGTGTGTTTCTACCTTTATGACCTCTTTAACCTTATAAACCTTTTCTGCTTTAGTGACTTCTGGTAGAATGGTATAGTGTGGTCATGGGTAGTCTCGCACATGGCTGTTGTTGCTTGTGGTCATGGTTGTTGGAGATGGTGTTGTGGTTGTATGGTCGCACATGGCTCGTCGTTCACATATGCATATAGTCTTCATAGTTATCCACTTCGCATTTAATCACCTCACATTTAAGCACGTCTAGATGCACACTTAGCTTCACATAACCATTTTAGTTCATAGTTAGTCACTTCAGTTGAGCAGTTATTCTCCTTCGTAGTGTTAGTTTTCACATTTAAGCCACCTCATATTTAGCCACCTCAGTTATCTAGTTACTCTCCTTTATAGAATGTAGTTATCATATTTAATCACGTCATTTAGCCGCATTTAGCCGCATTTAATCGCACTTAACCGTATTAACATCAGTTAATCTCAGTTACTCCATGTATTTGTTGTGTGCTTTATTGCGTATGTATGTTACCCTACGGGACGGGTTTTCTTCCAGGTCATCTCCTACGCACTCTACCATGCCGCCGATAGAATTGTTCTTTTACCTGTCTACCTTCTAAAACTTAACGTAGGATGCATCCCCTGTGGTCGTCAGTGCTATCACGTAACCACCATTCGAACGTCCAAGCCACTGTCTCGGGGGGGGGGGAGTGTCGCGGCTCGCGCGATGCAAGCCTCTCCTCGATTCAGGTGCCGGGAGCACTGCATGCCGCCGAATCGGGCGCGCTTTTTAAACTCGCGCCCGGACCTCTCCCGCTTGGGCGCGCTGCCAGGTCGAGGGGTATATAAGGCCGCGCAGTTGGCGGCATATGCCTCTCTGATTTCCGACCTCGTTTTCAAATTAATTTCTGATTTCTCACGTTCGCCTTATTGATTGTGTTGGCAGCTAACCCGGCAAGCTCCCGTGGATGAAATCTTGCGAGCAAGTGATTGTACAGCTTTTGGATCGTGCCGCGCTAACGCGCGAGGAAAGTTTAGAGCTTTTGTGGAAAAGATAGTACCGGGAGTGGAGAGGGTCGCAACTTTCCTACGCGGAGGCGAGAGTAGGCGGTCGACCCAGGTGATTCCCCTGACATCGTATGTTGGATCTAGGTTGATGTTCATCGGCGGCTTGGGACGAGGCGGACTCGTCCCGTTTGTCATTTTCCTTTAGTTTAGGCGCTTTAGTAGTTTAGTCTATTTCGTAATGTAGTCTGTTGTTATTCAGATAAATGTTAGTAATCTAATCGCGCGTTTCGTGCTATGTATTATTGCCGCTAGCGGGGCAGTCGTTGGACGCGCCGGAATGGCCAACCGGCGCTAGTTTGTAGGCAGTGAGTGCAGGGTTGTGCAGGCAGTCGAGCGAGGCAAGGGGGGTGCTGAGCCCACCGAGCCGCAACACCCATTGTAACACGAAGGGAAACTATTAGTCAAAGTGGCCTTTCTATATGAGTGTACGATATTAAAGAGCATAAAACGTTGATTCCAAAACTGCCTTCCTTGTCTGTAGAACATTTATAACGAGGAGTTATGAGCGTTTTTTGAGCCAAAAATTGAATGTGCATTTTGGATAAAATGAGTTGCCAAAATCTCTAGCCCTAAAATAATGCAACCAAGTGTGATATATTTTTTTGTTCCAGAGTATTTTTGAATAAAGTGCTCTGATAATTATCACTGCTCCATTGAAGAGCTAGAAAAAGTATTACGACTATTTTTATCCTACTTCCACAATCATTTTTCGCTCCAATAAGCGCTCGTAACTCCTCGTCTATCAACAAGGCAGATTTGAAATCAGCATTTTATGCCCTTTAGTATGGTCACATCCCATCTAAAAAGCTCACTTTGACTAAACATGCATTCCTTGTAAGATAAAAAAAATAATAATAAAATCGGTAAAAATTTCACTAAATTATCCTCTTACTTCCGCCATCATAAGAATCAGTTCCTGAGTCTTTTTCGACCTCTCGACCTTTTAAGATGGTTGGAAGCTGCACTGAGTCCTGCTTCTTCATCCTCCTACTTCCTGTTCGCTCCGTTTCGTCAGAACTGTAATTTTAAAGCTTATTCAGGCCTGATGTGAAGAACAAGAAACTTACGTTGAAGGAGATGAGTTCAATTTTGGAAGAAGCAATGAGTTCCATGACACGACGGTATGAATGTTTTTGAGCGGAATCAAATGGTAATGAAATTGGTTTTTTACTATTCTATACTCTTGTTCGAGTTGTTCACGGTCCTTATCTAAAAGTAGAGAGCTTGATCCCACTGCTCCGTTTTACTGACAGTAACTTACCATCTAATCGACCTTCAATCAACTTCTCAGCTAGCATTTCGTATTTTGTTAGCTTTGACATGGAACTATCCGTCTTTTGCATAATCATGGATTGTATAGCAAGATCATTTACTGCTGAGATCCCTGAAATTATGCATAAATCTGGTTCCTCTAATTTATGGGATAGAGGGGGGGGGGGGATTCCCATAGAAGGTTTCTTTTTTTCTAGTTGCTAGATCTGTTATGATTTTACACCTCATTTATTAAATGTAAGTAAGAGCGCATAGATCCTGCTATCTACCGCTTTTCGAAAAGTTTCAGGAATTCTAAATGTGGACTCTATTAGCTGAATTTGGAAATACGAAACATGCTCATACCTGCAAAATTCATTTTTTACAAATTTGTAGTAAAATACGTTTATATTTCTCAAACATTTGTAATAAATGTTTGTATTTCTTGAATATCAGTACTGAAATATATATAAAATTTGTGAAAGGAAATGAGCCGTGTAAAAGCAATTCTCACGATAGTGGTTTACGCTGCTGCTTCATTGTTCCAGATACTCGAGGTCAAAATCCTACTGAAATCTTGGAAAAACTCGTGAGAGATCTAGGGTTGACTCATGGGCCCTTTGAAATCTTCTTCTTCTCACCCCCCCCCCTCCGTAAATGTTTTTATCTCGATAATCTTGATACTACTCCTTTTCTTGAATTTCTGTTTTATTTCCTCAATAAGAAGACCTCAGCTAGATTTGAAATTTTTTTAAACTTAGACGGAAATCAATACTAACGTTCAGCTTGCATGCTGTCCATTCTGACTACGAGATCTATCAATTCCTTCTGTTCTTTCGTTTGAGCTAATGATCTCAGCCTAGTTTCAACGCCTTTGGCCGTCTCTTGTCCTTTGCGAAGAGCTTTTTCCAACTTTTGTCGGATATAGACCATTTGGTTTAGTCGCTCGTCCTGGAATATTTTGTTGCAAAATAGAAGAAAAAGTCGGATTATTCCTTACCAATTCGGCAACTTCTGACTTTAGCCGATTGATGCTTTCTACAGCTCTTTCTGACTGATTATGCTTCTCCCAAGCACTTATAATGGCCACTTTCGAAGTTCGACCCATTTCAACCTCATAGGCATCCTGATTCGCTTGCATAAGACGTTCCCTGAGAGCAAGATGTGAAAGTAAGCATTTTACAAAGAGCATCGAATTGTCACCTAAGCTTTTGTTGCTTGTCTGAGATGCTGATATATTGCTCTTTTAGCTGATTGAACAAAGATGCAAAGTCTCGTTTCTCACTCTGTAATAGCTAGTTTTTGTATGGAATGACGTCAATCGCTCTTTTGCACTTTCTGCATTTTTCACTCTCACCCTCACACTACCCATTGCTTCCCGGTTATAAACGCTTAGTCCTCACTTCGCCAGGTCTCTGTGACATTTCCGGCTTGGCATTTTCATAAGTAAGCAGCGATAAAGCAGTCAGCAAAAAGTGCGATGTAATTTTAGAGCATAGATCAATTATGCGGCAAAAGCTGGGATAATAGAAAGGATGGCAGAAAAGTAATAAGAAGATTTTAGTCACTCCATGAAGTTCGCATTTTGAAGGATAGATTGAAATGTACCATTGCCATAGACACAAGGTGTTTTTGCCATCGTTACTATAGGGTTACGGTAGCAAGCCATCCAGATTTTTTGGTTTGAAGCCAGTTCATTCATAGAAAACGTATGAGACTTGAAAACTTGCTTATGAATGTGACGAACAAGCTATATTTGGATCTAAGCTCATCAGGAAGCTTATGGTGTCAAAATTGTACAGCCATTCGTTCGCATCAACATGAGGCTGTTAGCCTACAGTAATCCTACAGTGCACCAAAGTATGCGCGCTCAAACTTCAACTTCAGTTTCGGCATTATCGGTCCAAATTACGGTCCCAAAAGCTTTGGTACTTTTATGAAGCTGAACTAGTTAACGTAAAGAAAAGCAAGCTACTGTACTCCTACAGTAACCAGGGTACTCTGACAAAGTACTCTAGGTTTTATCGGGGCATCATCAACTTGCAATGTTTCTTCTAAGACCCAGATTTACATCTAACAAATAATCAAGATAAATTGTAATAATATTAATATATATTAATTAAGATGCTTTATATATATTAATTAAGATGCTTTGTACCATGGTCTTATTTTTCGAAAGTTCTACGCGAATCATAACCCCGGGACCTGAATTCTAATTCCTACTCGTCTAGCTCTGCATCAATTTCCGTTCATTTTATACCTTCCGTACCGATGCATCCGATCGCCTCGACCTAATTGTACCATTTGATGTAGTTGTACTTCCATTCCATCTTACACCACCACGATATCGGTCGGTTGGAGTCGTTTTGTCAACTGAAAATTAAGGAAATTGGGAGATGTTAGCGTAGCTTCAGCTTACAATCATAACAAAAATGAATAATTAGTTATTTTGAAAGGGTGGTAAAAAGAACTGCATGAGAGAACAGTGAAGTGAAGTACATGAATTGGTTACGAAAAGTCAATCAAATTGAGTATGGCCAGAGCTCGGCACAAGGTGGTACATGGTTAGTTTGAAAAAGAAGCCCTTCTGGCCTTGCAAAAACTTACGCAGTACCTCTTGTTAATTTGAAAAGGTATGGCTCTAGGCCTATCTGCAGTTCCCTGATGTAACAAACAGATTTCATCCCATATCCATTCGATTTATTTTTACGATTCTTCGATCAAGTTGTTTGCTATAAGCCGTGCTTCATCATTTTATTCCGTGGCAAAATTTAAACTTCGCGCTGTTAAAGACCATGTTAGAGCATGCAAGTTAGTGTGAAGACTAAGTCGATTGCAGCGTTCGCAGGTGAGATGATTCATGAATGAGAAATTCGTCTTATGACTATGCAATTGAATTCCACTAACTTGCTTTTATTATTGGAATAAATCTTTTTCCAATCCCTGAAGATTTATGCATACGGAGAGTCTGATTATTTTGAACAAATAAATCCGATGTTTAACAGACAAATTGAATGTATTACAAGAATTCGGCACATCTATGGATATGAAAATTTGGTTGATAACATACTTTGATTTGTAGATGCAGCATGTGGAATTGTCCGTCGTTCAAATTCTCGCTTTATCTCCCTCATAGCTTCACTATAGGGTTGATCTGCTGATGCTGGACGATTTCGTGTGACCTAAAAACTTCTGCAATTTAATTCTTGAAAACTCGGTTAATTAAACTCAAGTGAAGTGTTAATTTTTGAAAGGGCTGTAGCACCTTTTCTTCACTTCAATGGATGAAAAACAGGTATTAGAATGCGACAAATTATGAAATATAAATTTGATTTTGGCAGGTGTAGCGAATATTCGAGTTGATAATTTGAGTTTGGATTTTTATAATCAAGACTAATCTACTCAGTAAAATCAACATACGAAATGAAGCTCGATAAGATACGATTTATTCTGACTTTCCACTTCCTCGAGAACTTGCTAATTGTTCCATCGCCTCTAACAATACTTTACCTCAAACGAGGCAATTAAGGGCAATTATCTAGGGGACTTGAAGCTATAAAGTAATGCTTAAAAGACAGAAGAACGTATTTCGAAGTTGCAGAAGGTTATCTTTCATAGCAAAAAGTAAAACTTGCAAAAGTTGAGGATCTAAACAAATAAAAAAAATTTTCCAGCAGCAAACATAGTTGCAAAAAAAAGAGTTGAGCGTAAAACTGTAAGAAATGATAGGCTCGATTGAAAAAAGTTAAGCGGTAATTCATATTTTTATGCACCAAATAATTTGAAAATTCGCGAAGTTTTATACAATGACATCGTATTATATGTACACCGTTTCCGACGTCAAGTGAATGTTGAACATACATATTATAACAAGAAGTTTTTGGAAAACTCAAACTCATATGGCCGTAGAGAATTTCGCAGCAATTATTTCTACGGCAGATGGAAGTCGTAAAAAACCAAAACCAAAAAGTGGATTTGACTAAACGTTCTGCAAATTTAGCAAATCGCGCTCAAAAGACTAGTTTTTGAGTATTTTTCCTCATCAGCTGGTATCGCAACGATAGCCGATAAATGATTCAAGCATCTTTAGAAAGGAAGAGATTCTTTTCTTTTATGAATCGAATTCGTTGAATTTGTAGGAACACAAAATTTTAAAAAATTTTGTGCAAGACTTATGCATCAAATTAATATTTTATATACAATCTCAACAGCATTGATTACAGTCACTTGAGATTATATTTTCTTTGATCATTGTGTTCGTTTCTACTGTACGAAAATTGATCCAAGGCTGTTGCACCATTAAGCAAGCTCAAGAAATACGAAAAGTCCATGGACCAACCTTATTCGTGATATTCTTTGCTCTAGCAGCGTAGACTAAGGTGTTGTACGTTTCCTCATAATGACCACTGGCAGCTGTGACATGAGCAATCATGCATGTGCGGGCATTTCCACCTGAAATGCTGATTTCTGGTCTGAAGGAGTACATTGTGTGCTAAGCACAAAGGTAAACTTTGAGATCTGAAAAGTGAGTGAGATGGGTTGTAGAGATGTTCTGATAGAATTAAGAAAGATTCTGAGCTGCTCAAAATTTTCTGTGGAAAATTGTGTGCAATCAGCGGAACTTACGCTGGACAAGCAAAATTTACAGCGGTTCCGCAGGATTTTGTTTACTATTGCAGAGGTGGAAATTTTGAAATGGGAACTTCTCAGGATTTTCGCGTCAGACTGGTTGAAAATGAGAAGTTCCGCGGGACTTCTTACAAAGCGCTTCGGAACTTCGGAAATGCCAGCGGTTCCGCGGCATTTTGATCTGCCAGTACTTCCGCAGGTTTTTGAACGCTCGCCTTTTACGATGTTTTTCCAACAATAAATAGAGTTTGTCGAACATGTCATCTGTAGTGCAGAGGATAATGAGTGAGTTTCACAGCCAACAAAGCAAGGTTCGAGTCTCGCTCAATGCCTTTTGCTGTTGTGGTTCGCATTCGCGTCCAATTCTTCGTAACTTCCCTAGCACCTCATTCGGGAACTTCCGCAGTACGTTTGCAGAACTTCCGCGGGTGACCCGGCGGGACTTTCCCAAACATTTCGCGGAAATTCCGGCCAGTTATCTGAGGTCGTAAGCTAGCGAACTGTTAAAGACATGTATTATATCATGACCAAATGGATGGATATGACCAAAGGAAGTAACTCACAAGAAAAATTTTTCGAGTAACTTTGTAACACTTTGTGAATAAACATATAATGAGAGCATTAAAACATTACTAGATTCGCTTTTAGACGGGGAATTTTATTAAATTGAGCACCACTGGAACTCTGAAGTAAGACATGACATCAAGTCCTGCAGAAAAAACCTCTTTACTCTATGGTTCAGTACACCTATACATCAGTAGCGGTTGCTGGATTTCCGTCCAGGGTAGGGCGCATGACGAAGAAAATTTTTTCAAATAAAGGTGCGTGGAGTTAGCCATGCATTCCGAAAAAATTTTTGGAATGTTTCAAAAAAGTCTACATAAGATTTTAGGAAAAGTTCACAAGGATTGCATTTTCAAAAATTTTGATTGTTCTAATTATCTGCAAGTATAAACGAGACGCTTGCAAAATTTTACTCTTTAAGTATTTCAAAAAACTTTGAGACTCATTTTCGGAGGGGGGGGGGGTTGCTACTTACATACATAAGTTGCGAAAAATTCTGTGCGATTGCAGAAAATCTCAGGTTTAGGATGTTCAACAAGCAAGATACAGCTTCGAACAGTCGGCGAAAGATAATACGACGAAAATAAAAGTATATATTCTTGATTCTCTTTTTCCCCTGTAATTTCTTGGGAGATACAGTAGGGTACTGATTCGTCAAAAGAAAGAAAAGAGTCAATAACTTATTATTTCTGCTCAAACTTCAATCTATATCTATTCCCTACTGCTTCAGGTTTTTCCAAAATCAAAAATGGTTACCAAGTGAATCCTTTAGAAGTCGCGTCAGCTTGCTGTCTCTATAGTTGACATATCTGCCTTTCGTATCTGCAAAAAATTGAATGATTTGTCAGCTTTTGGGATCCACAAAGATGTTCCAAAAAAACTTAAAAAATTCTGCCCCCCCCCAATCGTGAGTTAAGTTTTAAGTTGAGTGCGTATGTCCCTCATTAAAACACCATCATTTATTACCTAATAATGACGTAGACCAAATACAGAATTGATGCAAAGGTCAATTATCAATATGAGAATAACATAAAGACAAACAGTTCCATAGTTGAGTACACTTACTTGAACTAAGTGAGTTTATAACATTTCCAAGAGCAAGCAATGAACGATTTATAGCAGCACCTTCTTTCAAGCGGATGCCACGATTCTGAAAAATTTTCGGTTCGGAAAAAAATTCGGAATTCGCAGAATTTTTACTTACATTCGTATTGGAAGCTCTTTCGGAACCTGCTAAGTCTATAAGAAACAACTTTGAATGTGGACGATTGTGTCGTTGCAGGACCACCTGAAACAGTGCTAGAGGGAATGTTCCTTGGTTAAAAGGCCTTGTCTACTTGTAAGCCGTTGTGCAAACCACAGCGCATATGATTTATTTGCTACAGCTGAGAAATAAAAACTCTCGCCCAGCAGCAGCAATCTTTCAGAAAGAACCAATCAGCGCCTTCGAGTTACGATAGTGGGGTAGAGTTTGGGATTGATTTTTTTCAGGCCAAAAATTTATCACAGGAGTTACCTCTTGATTAATGTCTAAACTGGCAGCGTCACTTCAACTAGAAAATTATCATATGTTAAATAATCTTGAACTCTTCATTCCCATACTTTTCCCTAGCTCGTGACATAGATCGTGTAACTTGAGCCGGAAAAGCTAGCAAATCATAATCATAAAAAAACGTCTGCCATGTAACATTTATAATTCAATAGCTACTCATTCATTATTTATGTTGTTCTATGTTCCACTGCTCATTGCTCTATTTCACTTGATACGTTGTAACTTTTTCTCTCCATGGGAACGGGAAGTAATGCTACAGTGCTCAATTACCTGCAAAAGTGCATGACTTCGTGATGAAGTCTTGTTTGCTTCTGTGGATTCTTGAGTTCGCCGCATGTTTCCTTCTTGCAGGATTTGCATGATCTGAAATGAATTTGAAGATGGTATATAAAAATTTGAAAGACGGCAATGAATCATGCCTATTGTCTTTCTACAGGGTAACACATTGCCAGCGAGGAAATACCGCTCAATTTCTTTCCCACTACCGTAATCTGCACGGATACGGTAGGTGTATGGTAGGAGAGTTACGCAGGTTGAAAACCCGCTATGAGTCTTTGCTCTTGTAAAGTTGAGTGAAAATCTTACGAACGTGTCTCGGGCACAAAAACTTTGAAAGTTCGTTTATTGAAATTTTGGATCATGAGCTTTCGACCAAGAAGTTCCCCAAGAGCGAGAAGGTAGCACAAAAATAACATAAGGCTGTAAATAAGTCAAATTTGATTGTGCATCTTAGCATTGGATAAAAATAGCATAGGCGAAAATCAAGTCACTCATGCAAAACAAAGTGCACTTTCGGCGAAAGTGTTTACGCTTGAGTGAGATTCAAACTTTTCAGTTTCCCCTACGCGTTTAGGCGCAGAAATCAAAGAACGGAAACAGCTCAAAACTGAGTAGATATAATCTTTCTCAAGTTCAAATTACGTAAATACTAATTAACAGGTTGTGCTAATCATGAGGATGAAGGATTCCAACGAACATTGTTGAATTTCAAACAAAACACAATAAAAACTTTACCATTTTGTTCAATTCGTCAAAAAGGGATGAAGTGCAGAATTACATAAACTCTTACAAAATCAGCCTGAACCATTAAGCGTATTACTGTATTTCCAACAAGCCTAAGATTGATTTGCTTTGATTTGTAAATACCTTGTAAAATCCATTTAGCGACCAATGTATAAAACTTCAAAATGTCTCAATTACTATAACTACCTTAGAAAGAGAGGAAACATGTTTTAACTTTTCCTTTAACCAGAACGATAAAATGACGTCAGTCTCGGTGTAAGCCATGCTGCAAGCTAGAGCTCACACGTGATGAAAAATCATTTTGGAATTGGCACAATTCCTTTTCCGTTAAGTGAGCTGTAATTCATGCTTAAGAAAGAGTATATAATTATCCGTTAAGGGAAAGTCACATTCTGCTAAGTGACAATTACGAAAATATCAAAGATCAGATTTCAATACTCATTAGCGCTAAAAAGTCAAGTAATGAGGGGCGATCTTTGGTGGTTTAAAGAGTAGCAATTTTCTTGACACATGTAACTTGAACCTTTCATGGATATGAGTTGAAAGTGATTCAGATTTTTTAGTGAAACGATTTTCCTACAATCTCCCTCACTCGTCCCCTACGTTGAAAGTCTCTTCGTAAACAAGCTTTTTTCGCAGCAGCATCTATTGCAATTAGCCCGTTCGAGGATGTAGAGAAGGCATCAGATGACGTAAAACAATCGTCAAATTCCCTCCGACATTCTCGAGATCGTTGAGAGTGTTCATATCTCCCTCATGCATAAAAAGGGGCTCACGAACCAAAGATTTTGTGGTCTTTGAGCTTTGAAATCTTTGAAACATATCGGTGGCAATGGCTATCTGCGGCATTGCTTATTGAAGTGAAAATGTGTGCAGAAAAAAGCAGTTTTTCACTAAAGTAAAAAAGTAATCGATTCTCAAGAAAGCTCGTTCCTACACTTTCTCAAAAATTTATTTTCGGAGAGCCAGATGTGATGTCAAGAAGTGAGCAGCATCAATAATAGCTTAAGTCAGCATTTTTTGTTAGATCTTGTCCAACATTTTGGCACTAAATTTATGGCTGAGCGCTTTATCAGCTTTGCAGATAGTTTCTACGTAAGCAGCTTTAAAGCATTTATTTGCAGAAGCTACGCTAATCCTTTTGCACTTGGAAAATTTGCAGAAGAAATGGCAATTACGGAAATCCCTTTACACATAGTGCAGATCTCTGGATTTTAGTGAGGGATTAGGAAAACATACTTTGGAAAGAGACTTTAGTAGCGAAGCCTATTATAGAGAGCTATGCATCAAGGCGGCGTACTTAGAATGAAATATTACGAAATTCACACCAAAATCTCTAAGAAAGTGTAAGAATATGACAGAATCAAAGTTTGCTAGTCAGTGCGGAGTTTAAGGAAAGAAATAGAATCCAGTCAAAGAGTGCAAAATTCGGTTAAGGAAAAGATAAGATTTTTGCAAAATATACACCGAAGCTTTGTTAATACTTCACATCAAAAATCAGTAAATGGCGGAGTCATTTCTTTCTAGCTAAAACAGTAAAGATCAAAAAAATTCGAAAACTTCTGAGCTATCAATTAGCAATATTTATTATGTATAAGTTTGCTACTAGAATGGTTTTTCCAAAGGAACATACAATATTTCGTAATTGTAGTTTCTCGCTACGACTTGCAATTGTAAGAAATTGCTAAGATCAGAAAAAACTATTCATATTATTTTATTGTTAGATTTTCCCTCTCAAATATTTTTTGCTTCACGATCGCTTTCGAAATTCTTGGAAATTTCAAACTGTTATTGTCATATAAGGTAGCTTAGATCAAAAAATTTTCTAAGCTCTTCTTTAGGTCAGTTTCTTTTTATTTCAGGAAAGCTGTATTAACATTATAAGAGCAGTGTGGGAGGCGATGTAAATGCATATCGTGAGTGAATAATCCTTGAAAAAGAAGAATACGGAAGTACATTTCAGTAGTAATGATTCTTGTTCCCTGGAATGTAAATTTTTCAGAATTTAATTTTTTTTCGCCGAAGGAATGGTACTCTGGTGATTTTGAACTGAACATAATATCTACGTAGGAGAAGCCAATTAGAGCTGGCATTATATGCTTTTACACATCGATGCGAATCGTACACATCTGATGAGATTTTACTATGCACGTCACGTTACAATCTATAGAAAAAGTACCAAGTAACTTCTCAAGCACAATAATTGACTGAAACAAACTAAGTAAAAATTCTTCACTTAAAACATAGTCTTTTTTTCGGTGGACAGTTTGGTAACGCATAGCGTTGCTTTGCTCATTTGCAACAAAACAGTGTTCATTCAGCCGGAGGAATAGAGCAACTCAAGCGTTCCAGGGTATTTAGAAAAGGTTTAGGGCACTTTGGAATCCTTCAAAAAATTCTATAGGGTGACTTCTTGAGATGAAGATTGCACATAACTTTTTTCTGAAGCAATTTATTTCGGATGAAAGAAGTCGAAGTGGCTTACTCGAGTTAAATTTGGTGCCCGAACTGCAGACAATCCTGGAACTCGAATATTGCCTTTATCGTCCTCCATCAGGTCCAAAACACTTCCAGAGGGACTTAGCAAATCTCTAATGATTTCGTTGTAGATCTCCTGAAAGAGCGAAACTTTTGAAAAATGATTCAGCATTTAGGTCGGTCCTCTCTTATTTGCATAGAAGGGACGTAAACGTCTGCTGCGCTTTCTCACATTTCTTAGAAAAATCAATGAAAACTTTCTTTTCTTTGTTGCCAACAACCTTTGCTTCTTTTAGATTGCATGTATTGACTGCAGCGGAAATTTCTCACGGAGTGGGTGTGGGAAAAAACGAAAACACGTGAGAGAAAAAAACAAAAATGGAGGTTTTAGAAGGGAAAAGCATACAAGCATAATAAATAGCGCCGTCATGACGAAGCCATGATTCTGATAAAGTGAACTTTCAAAATGTTTTAGTAATTACAGAAAAAAAATTTTTTTAATGACTTAAGACCAAGGCGAAGAGAACCGGACTAGTTTTACAAAATAATGGTCTTATCCAAATGCTTGTAACTTTTCAAAATTCATGAGAAAATCGCTAAATAACAATGAATTTTTTACTATGTTTATTGTGTTTATAGGAGGTAAAACTTACGAGATAAGAGAGATGCACTTGATATTCGTCCAAATCAATTTTCTGGTACAGGCTTTGAGTTAGTAAACTCATTAGCCCAGGATGTTCCCTTGTCCCTATCATTGTAAATGTTTTACCAGAACCTGGAAAAAAATATTTTCTGAGTTTAAGCCGTAGTTGTTATCTTGCAGGTCTGTGTATTTGCAGCAGTGCTAATCTCTCAATGGGAACTGCGAAAACAATTCTAATTGTCTTTTTAAGGTCTACAAAGGAGCCTGTTTACTGCTCACTAGAATCTATATAGAATATTTGATATTTCAACTTGCCCGTGGCACCGTAGGCAAAGACGGTGGCGTTATAGCCGGCGACCACCGAGTCCACAAGAGGTGAGGTGGTGACTTGATGAATTTCGAGCTGTAAAATTTCACTAACATTCTCCCTGAACTTCATTTTCTCCCCAAACAATGGTCTCGGTGAGTCAAAAGTAGTCAGAAGTAGTCATCGTTGCTCACCTGTGACGAGTTCGGTCCAAATGCCGCATCGAACGAGAATTGCCGCTCGTGTTGGCGATTTTGACGTAAAATATTGTTCTCATATTTCTCCGGATCGACGAGCAGTAATCGCTGAATCACATGTGTGCTGTTCGGATTGATACTTGGACTAGCCAAATACTCTTTACTAGAGATTTATTAAGATTTTGCGAAGGATGCACCTGTTTATCGAGTTGAAAAACGCATTGAAAATGACGTTTCTCCTTTTCTGCGTTGCTAAGTGGCCGCACACGAACGACGACCTAGAAAAACATACGAAAATATGCTCATAATTGAAAGGTTCATGAGACAGGTTTGACAAATCCCTTTTAGTCGAGGCATATTTTTTTCAGGAATTCTTGAGAAAATAGGCACAAAATCGTTTTACCCGAAATTTGGAGCCATTACTTATATGTCTGTGATGAGGTAACCACATTCCCAAACAATGTACAATCTAAAGGTTAATTTAGTACTTCTGCTGTGTTGACAACATTTGCGCGTAAAAAATGGCTACTGAGCGCACATCTTCAGATTTTGCGCGCGGTGCCGCTTTTCCCCGCGCAAGCATTGCCGGCACCGCAAGGGCACCATCTCCTCCACTATCTGCTAGACTGAATCCCTATCCTGTGAAAACTTGTTTTCCTAATAACCCCAATAAAAAGAATCCACGTGCTAGCCACGAAGGAAAGGCAGTGCACATTTTTACGCAACGCGTACTTTGGCCTTGCCCATATACTTCAACGAGGTCGATGTGTCAAGAATGCCTCATTGAAAAGCCAATGTTTGTTCCTGGGTCCAAATCGATTTTGTGAATTCTAATATAGGGCAATTATGTTTTGTGTGTGCCTCTGGCGCCCTATTGAAGACTCCTAGTACGCCGCCCACAATTAACCAAAAAATCTGGCCTCTTATTAGTACGATTTGTGGGGAAAACTTGCTCAAAAACTCTATAAGAGCTCGGTTAAAAGTGATTATTCGAAGATCTTTGGCTTTGCGCTGATTATGTGGTCGTAGTGAAACCTATTAGTAGGGTAAACTATCAACAATGTCTAGTATCTCAACAATCTGTAGATGTCTCTGCACGTCAGCAAGTAATCGTAAATTAAATATGAAAGAGTGATATAGTCATAGAAGTTTTTAAGTTCTTTTACGTAGAGACATTATTAAAGGTGATAAGAGCGGATAAAGCGCCTACTTTGAATTATAATCTGCTCTAGCTCAAAAAAGACTGATGCATGAAAAAGTGCAGACAAGAGAGCTGCAAACCAACATCAGAGCTTGATTTATGCCTTTTAGAAATGAGTAATCAGGATTACTACTATTTTTACAGCTTACTACCGAAAGTACAACTACAAATGACCCTTACCCTTAAAATCCACATAATATCACATCAACAGACACGAAAACCCAACGTACACGACATCGAAACGGTACGCGAAGTTGACCGAACACTAACCGTAAGCTTTGAACTGCTCATGGCAGGCCAGACACTTGTTCGCACATTGCGGCAAACTAGCGAGTGTCCGTAAAGTTGTGTTTCTCAAGTCACCCCTTGTTGCCAAGTAACAGTAATGGTACTTCGAAATTCGCGCCTCATCACAAGATTCGCAGGTGCGGCGCGGCGGAACGGCCGTGGCGAGCGGTCGTTGTGACGTCAATCCCCGCACGCGCCGCAGATTTCACATGAACTTGAATCAACTATTGATTTGGCCTTACTCGTTTCTCTACCTACTCCGATCTTGTTTGTGACAATCTCTACAGGCACTTAGCCCTACTCCTTTGCCTTCCAAACAGTCTAAGAATGTCTTCGATTGCGAATGTGACTAGAAATGCGAACTTCCGGCAGCCATCTGGCACTGAGGACGAGTCAGTTGGGATTACCCCTACATTGTTGTTACGGCCGTTTTTAAGTGTGGATGTGAGGTGTTAATGCACGTCGTCGTTCCCACTCCATCTCCTCCGTCTGCATATCATTTGCTCCGAGTCGTCACTGTGTAGATTTTGCACACTCACGATTTACAATCGATTCTGTTTTAAGTGGAGAACGATTTCAGCGCTCTTCTTTCTGGTTATCGCAGTCTTATGTATAATCAAACTGAGCATGTAATGGATGTTGTCCACAAAAAGTTTATGTGTTGTGATAATTTCATATGTCCATTTGAACGCATGACATTGTGCATGAATTTAAGATATGTAATGGAGACAAAGAAATTTGCTTGACAAGAAATCTGGTTCTTGTTTCAAAACGTATTGGAAAGTAAAAGCGCTTCAGAGACGTTCCAGAATTTAAGAAAAATCTGTCAGCAAGTGTTGGACCGGTGGTGGCAATAATATCAATAATCGATCGCTGTTTTGGTTATGTCCACCACTTCTGTTGCACTCGACATCAAATCTCATTGAGCGGTTTCTTGCAAATTTAGTTTGATTCAATCCTTATCAAGTGAGCGGCACTTCCTTTTTGTATGTTCTTTTCAAGTTACTAGATTCTTTTTCTTAGTTAGCGGGTAAAACCGCGCCAAGCTATCCTGCTGGCTATGTGTTCGCGGGCTTGTTTTTGCCCTCTTGCTGCTAAAATCATTGTGAATTTTGTGAGTTAGCGCCTGTGCAGTGCACTGTTCTATCTCTTCGACACGAACAACAGTTCGTTCGTAGTGGATATTCAGTGCAGTTTGTGCACGAAGCGAATCCAATAAGATTGTGTGTGAGACCTGCTACATTTTGGGGAGCTCGGCCTCGCATTCGCCTCTATCCTCGTCTCTGTCTCTCGCTTGCTCTCTCGCCTCACGCTGCCCCATCGCGAATACTCGCGGCACGCCACCCGGCCGTCGTAGCGATGAAATCTGCCTCCACCCCATCGCGCCAGCTAGCCTCGATGTAGTTACCAATCATAACATACTTTTTCAAATCACTGGAGAGAATACAGCATTGAAATTTTTTGCGCTTTTTTCCAACTTGCATTGTGAGATTTCGTCGTTTCTATCCTGCACAATTTGCCGTTTTGTTTACAGTCGTTAAAAACCGTGGTTCTTTGGCCATTCTCTTATCGCAGTATCGCTAATCAGTAAGTTCAGCAAGCGATAAGTTACTTTTTCTTGAAAATCTTCTGCTCTTGTTCAGTCATCTCACTTATCTCATTTAGTCTACTTCCTTATATGACGCCTAATGTTGAGCCCCTTGCAACTTTTTTCGTTCTTGCAGCCGTAACTCTCTTTTTCTAACTCTTCTAGCTTCTCTCAAAATCTGAGATTCTTTGCAGCCGTCTCGGACATGTCGAGCGGCAACGAGGAAGCGCAGTTGGCACAGTGCCAAGCCTATGTTCAACGACACAATATCCAACAACTCGTGAAAGAAGCTATCGGTATGTCTACGTTCAGCTATGAGAGCAGCAGTCTTGGAAAATTATTGTAATATTAATTTGGCCTATTTTTCAGTTGCGCTCTGCATTCACAAGCCAGAAAATCCAGTTTTGTTTCTGAAGGAGCACTTTGATAAACTCAATGAACAGAGGACAGAGGTTTGTATCAATTCTTCATTTGTTTATCATTTAAATAATTGGCTATCATAGACACTGTTTTGACTATATTCTGCTCCATTTCCTTTGTTCCTACAATAATTTGAACTCTGCATGAGATGCTTTTCGTTAGCAACTGTAGAACATCGAAAGAGCTCTGCGTTAATCCCAGTCAAGCCATAGTCATCCTGTTTGATTGGTTCGGTGGTGCAGCGCTCAAGTGACAGCTGTTACATAATCGGTTTAGCCCACCAACTCACTCTTGACATCCAGGCATGCTTCTTGCTTCATACGTTGTAAGTATTTTTTCTGGTAGTTCCTCCTAGCGTGGTTTGGTACGGGCTAGTTTGTTCTAAAGCGTTGCGTAAAGGAGTAATCAGTGCTCGCGATTCTTGGCAGTTATGTACTTGTTGCTCGTGCTAGAGCATCTAAAGTCTTTGCGAGTCTTTTCTGTCTCTCGACTTGTGTGGCAAGGGAAAGGCATGAGCATAAGAAGGCGTGCCATGGTGGCGTAAGGATGTGGGTGGTGTGTGTGAGATAAAAACGAAATAGTGAGTGTATTGCGGGAGAGCGGCGGGGCGAAAACAGACGGAATCGCTGTCGGTCTGCCTGCACCGCAATCAATACACGCAGTAGGCTACGCGGGCCATCCTAGCGAACCGAATTCATTTGTTGACGACGACGTCCGTCTGCGTGATGCGATGGGACAGCATCTGAGTGCGCGTCGAAGTCGAACACAACACACTCCGGCTAAAACTTCCGCTTCCTCGCCAGCAATTCAGGTGAGTGACGCTTCGCAGCCTCTGCAAATCCGCCCCGGATAGCTGACCGCGATGACTTTCTTCCGCTACGGAACGGCTGCAACAAAGCACTGAGTGCTTTTGTTGTGTTGCAATGCATTATCTGCATCCTTGTAAACATGCCACTCGCCTTCACATCGCCTTGCATCTGCAGCGGGCTCTATACGCAGTGCGTTAACGCGCTCTCCCCAGGCCTGCCGTATCCCTCTATTCGTAGATGGATTCTCTGCCAATCCGACTGGCTGACGAAGTAAGTCCTCGTTTCGTACAGAAAACGGCTCCGCTATGCATAATCTTCTTGCAAAGACCAGCAGTTCTCAAATCTGGTCCTCATATTCTTTGTTCTGAAGTCTGTAAAGAGAACTGTAAAGTTTAACCCATGTGGAAGTAGCATCAGAATTTCTTTCGCTTGTAATGTCCTTCACCTCGAACAACATGTGACTTCCCTGTTTCTTGTCCAATATTTACAACAGTGAAGCGGTATGGTTATGTCATCGACAGAAACTTGATTTCTCAACCCTGAGATGCTTAGGTTGCCTACATTGCATGCATTGAATTCCAATGAGTTTAATGGCATTTTTGATAGAGGAAGATGGCAGGGCTATTTTTCTAGCTCATCTTTCAGATTTGCTGAAGGAAAGCAGTTTCCATTGTGTTTTACTGTTGAAACAGGTGCTTGAAGTCTTTTTTGTTAGTGCATATGCAATGGATGATTACTGCGTTGGAATGTTCTTTACTAAAAGTTTCGGGGGAACTTAGCAGAGATTGTGGCATTTCCTTGTTATCTGCCTCGTAAAACGGAGCCCAGCAACGTGGAAACACCGGACCGTTGTAAATTATCTGCGCGCTGACTTCACTATCGCAAGATTTGTCGTTCTGATCTTCAGTCCGAATAACATCTTATAATTGCAATCGGAATTAGCATGTGAAGGAGTTGAGATCGCGCAATCATCGTTTTTAGTCGTCGTTCACCAAACCATCATCCGTCCATCATGACATAATAAGCAACGCTCATGCGCAAGTCATCGTCTAAGTAGCAACAATTGCTGGAAGAAATGACGCGAAACAACAGCGTTGTTTTTCCTTTGTAACTCTTGAATGGAGTTAATTGAGGCAATCGCACGAGCTGTCCGATATTTCGTCCAACTGAAGCCAAGAACATCGAAAACATCCAGATTTGCGAGATGTACTATTGGAACGTTTGCGTGGCAGCATATGCTTAGATGATATCAAAATTTATATGGCGCGAACACCTGCTTATGCAAGACGAACTGTTCAGTCCTTTTGTCTGTCAGGGTAATTCAACTTGCCTAGTGCGCAATTGGTCAATATATGCACTTTCCTTTTGAGTTGTGTAGCGCATGCTAATTTACGCGAAAGAAACTGGTTGACCCTGAAGGAGTTGCGTATTCTGAATACTTATGTGTTCGTTTCACAAAAAAGCATTTCGTAGCTTTTTATCAAATTTTTCTATTGCATTTATTTCTTTATACCACAACCTGATCACATATCTCTTCTATTATCAACTAAATTTCAGGAAGCTGGTCGAAATCAGGACCCACAAGATGACGACGACATAATGATTGAGCCGCCGAAGAGGACAGGTGGACGTCGTACGGGTATCTCTGCTGAACCCATCAAAGAAGATGATACCGAGTACAAGAAGGTAGTTCCGATTTTTATTAGCAAACATTCAGAGCACTGGAACTACTGATTTGCTTGGTGCAATCCAGAGTTCTTTTTAAGTTATGGATAGAGTTGATCACATCACAGACTCTGAAATATACTCAAAAGTAGTTCTGTGAACTTATAGTATGCCAAACTTTTATAGGTTGTGATACCCAAAGATGAAGCGACACGGAAATCACTTGAAGCCGCCATGAGTAAGAATCTGTTGTTCGCCCATCTTGAGGTATGAAAAGTTCCTAGTTTTTCTTTTTCATGTTTGGAAAGTATGACATATTAGGAGGATGAAGCGAAAACGATGTTTGATGCTATGTTCCCGGTTGAGAAGCAAGCCGGCGAGACAATCATTGAACAAGGAGAGGAGGGCGATAACTTTTACGTGATCGACAAAGGAGTGAGTTTCACTATGTTTGGCGCTTGTATCGGTTTCCTTTGTTTTTAGTTTTGTTTTCTTTTATTTCTAAGACTGTCGAATATCTTTGTATGGGATTCTGCCGCATCTACTACCTATTAATTAGAGAAGTATGATCTTTACCAAGTATACATATCATACCTCACAGGCGATTGTATACTTGATGGATTTTGCATTTTGCATCCAACAGAAGTTCATTTACCATTTCAACATGGGTCAAACACTTCCATGACTCGCATTTTGGTTCTGTTATTACCGCTTGCTCTTCAGAGTGAATTCTCAAGGTTTTTGATGAGCATGATCAGAAATGTAATCCAGTCAACGATTCCACTTCACCGATCGATTGAATACCTTTTTTTGGTTTTGATTTATAAGTCTTCCATTATTACAGTTCGTAATGTTGAAAGGTGAGAGAGCGCGAAGACGTTATGTTAGACATAAGTGATGCTATAGCTAGTTTTCGTAGGTATTTGAAAGTCCCTTATCAGCTTTTGCGCTTCCTGTCCGAGTATCTAGATTCCTTTCTCTACCATATATGTCTGGAAAATGAGTTTAAAGTCTGTTTGAAAGGTTTTTCAACGTTTTGTTTCCTAAGAGTGCAAAATAGTCTTCAATTTGTTGCAGATTGTCGATGTCTACGTCAATAACGAGTTTGTGCTGACAATAAACGAAGGTGGTTCTTTTGGCGAGCTTGCTCTCATCTATGGAACACCAAGAGCAGCAACAGTCAAAGCAAAGGTTTGTTAATCTGTTGACCTTAAACTTGTTCACATTTGTTAATCTGTTGACCTCAAACTTGTTCGCAATCCCATGTTCTAACAAAGAATTTTTGTGCAGACGGACGTCAAACTATGGGCTATAGACCGCTTGTCATACCGACGCATTTTGATGGGATCGGTTATGAGGAAACGCAAGATGTATGACGAGTTCCTTTCCAAGGTTCAGATCTTAGGTGAGTTAACTTTCTTTAAGATTGATCTGATTGTTTGACAAAGAGCTTACTTTACAGCTGATCTTGACAAGTGGGAACGCGCAAATGTAGCTGATGCTCTTGAACGGTGTGATTTCGAACCCGGAACACATGTAGTAGAGCAAGTAAGCTGCGCTGAATTTTTATGCGTTTATGTTTGTCATGACTGAATGCTTTGCAGGGCCAGCCCGGAGATGAATTCTTCATTATCCTCGAAGGGGAAGCTAATGTGCTGCAGAAACGAAGTGATGACGCGCCTTTTGATGTTGTTGGTCATTTGTCTTCTTCCGATTACTTTGGTGAGTACATCTCATTCCGCGCTTTTTTTCTATGTAGTTACCAAGTTCAAACCACCTCCTCTTATAGGTGAAATTGCCCTACTTCTCGATCGTCCCCGTGCTGCCACTGTTGTTGCGAAGACGCAGTTGAAATGCATCAAGCTGGATCGTGCCCGTTTTGAGCGTGTAATGGGACCTGTTCGTGAGATCCTCAAGCGTGACGTGTCTAACTATAACTCTTACGTCAAACTGATGACTTAAATTAAGCATTAGCTACTAGTAAGTGACGCTAATGCTTAGACCCTTCTCTCCTCTAGTCATTAATGCCAGACTTGCGCAATGTGAAACCCTACAACGGTGTTTATGAATGAAGTTGACGTTTCGATGTTCGTAAACATTGTTTTGGGTTAGAATTAAGTTAATAGACGAACTAGTTCCGCCTTCCTCATTTCATTACTTGTGTCGTTAATATTCCGTAGTATTGCGCAAGCTCATGTCATTTTATTAATCGAGAGTTCTATGTGCGTAAAAGTAGCAAAATTTGATTTGTTCAGTCGATTTATTGCTGTTCCACTTTAACACTGTAATGTTGATGGTCACCGTATATGTATATGAAATGCTTTTTTGTTGTGTCTGTCTCGTTTGTGATTTGATTTAGAGGCGTTTTTCCACGTACAATTTCGCCAATCGGACCCGCACACATCTAGCTTTACCGTTTTCGCGTCCTTCGTTCTCGAGCAATTTACGTACAGACCGTTCTCCGCATCTCTTTTGCTTGCACTACTTGTTATAGTAAGACTCACCCGGCTCGATATACACTTCTTGCACATGTATTGATCCTTTGAACGATTGTATTCTTTTCGTTTCGTCGTAGATTTTTATTTAATCAACAGTTATTCAGAGTCAGAGTAATATTTTTCTTCTCTTGTTCGTTTACATCGTGTGTAGAGGCAATTGAACATACTGTAAAATGTTCCTGTATCGAGATACAGAATAAACGAGCATTATATGGGAGCTTTCCCTAGCTAGTGGAGAGTCTGGGATTGGATTTGTTGCGACCCATGGGAGGTTTCTTTTGTAAAGAAAGGCGTGACGGATGGTTTTTTTACAGAAAAGCTTTATTAAAACTTTACATTTACATACAAGATGCTACCATCATTTCATACTGGAGTTTCGTTCCCGTATTCTACAGCGGCTAGAAGGGCACTCCGCCGTCGTACGAATAATTTGCCTCTATTCCATGGATTCTGTAATCGAGCAACGGCAAAATCGTCTTTGAGACGGCGTTCCCTTGTTCCGATGACAGCAACGAGGCAAAAGTCTTTCTCGTCGAGAAGGTCCAAGTCGTTCTTCTTGTCATCTGATTGTAACTTTTTCAGCTCTTCAAGCACAAGTTCGACAATCTGAAAAAGTCAGTTTGATGGAAAAAAATTTGTGGGTTGCTGGGATGCTCAAGAGAAGACTAGTTCTAGTGCGGATTGGAGAGAATGATGTGCATTCGATTTTGCAAATTTTATGTAGCCTAATAGGTCTGACAGTTTTTATGGTGCATTTGCGGTTCCGACAACATTTGCGCGTTAATAAATGTTCGCTCGAATTCGAACTCGAAATTCTGCGCTCGATGGCTATTTTATACGCGCGGATTGTCACAGTCACAGACATAGCAAATATACGCGCAATCGCTGTCAGTTCTGTAAGTCTGTAAATAGTAGCTGGAAGTCCTGGCTGCTAAGCTGAACAACTTTAGATTCTAAAGGGGCCACAACTTCATTTTTATCAGCTTTGTGTAATCGCACTACTTTCGAGACTTGAGGTTGAATACCATCATGACTGAAACAGTAAAAATCTACGAATGTGCGTAAGAATTTGTATGAATTGGAAAAATGCCTTGTATTTGACGGGAACACTCAGCTAGGGCAAAAAAAATAGTGCAACTACACAAAGCGACTGGTCAAAGGAAGCGGCTGTTCTGACTTACTTCAGTCTACTTAGAGCTTTACGACCGCATAGAAAATGTGAGTTTTCCAAAAAAAACTGCTGACTAGCTTTTTTTCATGAGCATTACTGGAATATTAAAGGCTATGTGCGAACTTGTTTTTAGCGCCAAATCTTTGCCCTTTCCTGATCTTATGATGTTTAAGTGCTTTGATACACTGCGACGATTATCGGGTTCTTTGCATAGCTGGATTACTGGAATTGTTGAAAGGTTGAGGGAGTGCTTTTTTGCACTCAAAGATCTTCAGATTAGGCAAAAAAAAAAGCTCTTGTGAATAACCAGAAGAAATTTATGACAGTATTTTGATGCAAGCTTTGCAAGTTTAAACAATTACTTTTTTGTAAAGTAAGAAATTCGAACGGTTGTTCTTCAGATCGTGGACGCTGTTCAAATTTTTTTCGCCTTTGAGATGCTTTCATGTTGCGTTTGACAAAAAAAAATTCGAAGGTTAAAAGAACTTGCCTTTTCACTAGTAGTGTTTCCAGAGATAGCAAATTGTACAGATGTGTCCTCAGCTAGTCCAAAATCGTACGCTGGATAAACGGCTATCGTTTTACATGTTTGATTCCATTCTTTATCCGATCTTGCAGCAGAAGCATTGAGCTTATCTTCCAATTCTTCTTTCTTATGTGTTAGATCCTGCTTTCTATATAGTCTGAAATGTTGAGAATTATTAAGTGCACTGAGCTAACATTGACGCTGATTCGCACTGAAAATTTCGAGAAATTGGATCCGTTCCAAATTTTCAGTATATCAGATATTTTTCACTGATAAAAATAATACATATATTTTATTATATGGACCATAAATTCGCTAAAGAAAATGTACTTGAAAAAGACGGAAAAAAATTGGAAGTTTTAAAATCTTCGCATCGTCCAATCGGCACTGGAATTTTGTAGCACTTTTGAGGCAAAATTGAAACGGGAAATATTTTTCCATTGCTTCTCTTTCTTAGCCATTCGAAACTTGATGTACCATGCATAATTTCTTCATTCTATAAATCTCAAATTATGCAAAAATTTCAAAAAGAGAGGGGATTATGAATCCCAGAAAATTCTATGTAAAGTTTTAGGCTTATTTGAAATGTTGGCAGGTCCAAATTAGTCGTCAAACTCTGAATTTTTGAAAATACAAAAATCAACGTGTTAGACTATGACTTGTCTTTGCAAGATTAGCGAAGTCATTTTTGCGAGCTCATTACATCTAATGCAAATATAATTTTCAAATCTGAATGTCGATTGCACTACGAGAATTCGATGACCGAAAGTCCATTCTATTGGCAAAACTCTATGATTTAGTCCATGAACTCGCATTAGTTCATCTATTGTTATTGACCAATCGTTATCGCGCAAATATTACGCAATAGAGAAAAGTGCGAAAATTTTTGAAATGCAAATATCACACGAAATTCGTACCGGTCAATGTCGCTGTAGTTCTGCATCGACGAATCTGTCAGCGAATATCGTTTCGGTGAGGGGGGTTTGGATTTGCCTCGCATCGCTGTTCGTTCGCTCTAAAATTTCACACTCACTTTCGTTATTGATTGGTCGAACTAATAAATGACAATAAATATGTTGCTTCCTGTGACTGGATGCACACCGCAGGTTCAAAATCTTAGCATAATTACTGAAATCTGTCAGCTTTTCTATTCATAATTGAGATCAAACCAATTTTCTAAGCTTTCTCTTCGTCATGGATAAAGCAAGCAATCTTCTGCACACCTTGCATTTGGAATCAAAGATTTTCAAGCTAAGGTTGCTTCAGTTCTGGCATATAGGGAGAACACTTCCTAAACACTGTTAGGTGATCATAAAATTACGCATGTGAATTGTACTTGTAAATAAAAACATTTTTTGAAAATTTTCTTATAAATGAAGCTTTAAAGCTTATGAAAATTTTTTGCTGAGGGGGGTGGGGGGAGGGGAGGGTTTATCTACTGCCAGGCCCTTTTTTAAAATTGTGGTTTTATGGGCGGGCTGAAATTTCAGAAAATACCAATTTTTGGAGGGCGTGGCTAACACCACGCATCTTCATGCTAAAAAAACGTGCACCCTTCCCCCCCCCCCTTACCTCCAGCTGAGGAAAATTCCTCGGACCGCCACTTGTACGAGGTAAAGGGACAAAATTTCCTGGTTTGCTAAATCCGTGCATAGAAGATTGAGTGAAGTGCTAATCACGAGTACTCTATTAATCGACAAGATAACTTCTCATTGGGGAAGAGGATGTTGTCCTACCGTAAGTCTACCGTAACCTTTAGAAGCCCTTGCTCATGGCTACAGATGGCTAAACAATGCTCAAAGAACTCCAAAACAGACTTCTTCAAAGGAATTTGTCTGATCATGGTGCAAAACAATGACGAAGTTCCTCCTGAATGTCTAGTTACCAGCACTTATTTTCGATTACGCATGGCAAAATTAGCGTTACTCTTTTCTCTCCTGCTCAGTTCTCATTACAAAAGATTCCTTCTCCCAGAAACAAGGAAGTAATGATTTGTCATGAAACAACAGAAATGTCAGCGTTGCGTCACGGAATAGACACTATTTCAATTTTCCATCTAAAAGAAGTTAGTCAGCGTACATATAGAGAATGACACTTGATGCAATAGTCAAAGCAACACGTCAGTTCTTTTAGGACACATCAAAGTAGAAAGTTTATAACAAAAGGCAAACGGAAGCTGCGCTTATGGGGGTTGTATAGGAAAGAGCTTTGAGAGTAGCTATACCAAGATGCAATCTAATGTATGAAGAATCGTAAGATGCATTCAAAAATCATCAGATAGCGGGAAAACGAGGGGGTCACGAAGCGAGCGCGCCTTAAACTAGCATCTTTGATATTACTGGTTCACTAGTGCAGGGAAGAACATCTCAGCCTTTTTAAGTGTATTATTGTACGAATGTTCTGCAAATTGTAAAATGGGGAAGTACAGAAACAAAGAATATCCCAGGACAGAGTTTAGCACATGGTTCGCTTAACCTAATCTTCATACTAGAGTTCGTAACAATGGGGGTGAACAGCTAATTAATAATTCACGAGTATCTATCCACACTTAAGTAACGATTCATTCGTGGCTTATCCCATATCAGGTGAATACATAAGCTACACCAACAAATAGGGAATTGCATTTTGAATTGTTTTAATTCATATTTCTTTTCGATGTAACTTTCTACTATCCGTGGTAATAAAGCAAAATTTTCATGTTGTATCACACTATGAATAATTTTAATTTCGAAGGTCATAATAAATCGAGAAATCATTACAAATCTTTCTCAGTTATCGAAGGAGCAGGTGGTGAAGCTAAAGCCGAATTGTGCACCTTTTGCGTGACCTTAGCATTGCTAGCTGCGCAATTATGAAGTAATTGCTTCAAGATATATTAGGAAACATATGTTACATTCTTTACTAATACGTTGCGACAAACAACGACTTTGGAACTGGAGAAGGCTGCAGATTTTCAAAAGCTGTATAATTTATGAATCAACCAACTTTCAACTGACGAGATAAACTACACTGGAATTGGATCTTGCTGGATGCTTCTTAGGTCATTCCGAACATGTGGTTTTATCACCCATTTTATAGGTTTTTTTGAAATGACAAAATCTGAGCATTTAGATGCGTTTGAAGGGAGGGTTACTGCCCCGCAACAAAAACTCCGGCGATCTTCCAGGATTTCGCCTTTTGTGAATACACTTTTGGAGCTGCATTGGCGCAAAATCAAATGTAAAGACAACTATAATTTGTTGAAGACGTTAGAAAACATACTGCATAACATCGAAACCAGTTTTTTTTGTAAAATTTTTTTTCGTCCGATTATCACCGAAAATTTACGCCAAAAATTTCCAACATTCTAAACAGAAAAAATTATTGTTGTCTAAATCTGTTGGTTTTGCAGGAACCTTATATAATGAGGATCCTGGAAAAGTTTGAATAAATGTGGAAAATAACAGGAGATTTCTCAATGCAAGTATTTGCCTGCTGTTCGAAGGTTCTGATATCTGCTTGTGAATTATCTAAGATTTTTATGAAGTTATCTGCGTATTATGTTGTCTCATAAGTCTTTTCATGTTGAACGTTCAAAATGATATTTCTCAAGAACTAGAGCACCTATAAGGCCGCAAATTTGTGACAGTATATCTGAGTGGATAAGCTATATTAATAGGCAAAGTTTGAAAATTCAGCTTATTTCTTTTTTAGCCATCAGAAAAATGCAGCAAGTGTGCATATACCTATCTGTTGGGATGTGTATATGTGTGAACCAGAGGGAAATTCGCAGAATTTTTTTGAGCTGAGTTTCAATTATTCGTTTTTTTGGGAGTTCGGAATTTTTTTTATTCTGGCTTGAAACTCAGTGCAGATCATGTTTGGTACAAATCTCAATGCCATCTTGTAGAGCTTGCTTTGATCTGTCAAATAATATCCCGCATTCTGCTGGAAATGTAAAGGAGCTGACTTATGTCGGTGAAAATTCAGATATGAAAAGACTTATGGGACAACTTATACAGGGTGTCTCAAAAAAATGTATCCACTGTTTGATCGTTAATAACTCTCTTATTATGAGGTCTTTCGAGAAGCGGTAAGCGCCATTTTGTAGAGCTGGTTTCAACTTAGATTTACAGTATAGAGCGAATCGTCCATCTTTCTGTCTTACCGTAGGATTACGGTAAAAACTTGAAAGAGGGTTTTGGGCCATGAAAGGCCATTATGCCTCAGAAAGGAATCAAAACAGCCTGAAAACTTTTACACTAGGCCAATCAGAGTTGCTGATTCTAACTGTAAAGTTTCTAACTTATTATGATGCTTCATTGAAGAGTTATCCAGGTAAGAGGTAGCGGCCATTTTTTCAGTGTTCCTAAAAAGTGCGATTACACCGTTTAGAAAGCTTCGTAATCTTGTGAATAGTTGAGTGTTGAAAACTCAGCGTTTATAAAAACCCTATTACACAAGTTTTCAAACTTTTTTGAAAAGTTTTGAAAGGGCAGCTTTTTCCACATTGACACCATATGTTTCAAGTTCCTACCGTAATCATACAGTAATGAAGAGCCAAATCTAAGTTGAAACCAGCTCTACAAAATGGCGCTTACCGCTTTTCGAAAGACCTCATAATAAGAGAGTTATTAACAATCAAACAGTGGATACATTTTTTTGGGACACCCTGTAGTGTTGAGTCAAATATGGTGGATAATCAACAAGACTGTAATGATCTAACTTTTACTATTCCTTTTATAAATTCTATAGTGTCAAAACATTTTCATACCTTTTTTATATCAGTTACAAGCACGCTAAAAACATGAACGCTCTAATTCCTCTTAGCTGACCAAAGTTGCAGAAGGATGCATGAGGTCATCTTACCGTAGGCCTACCGTATTACTGCATTTCTTTACGGTATCGTCACGTACTAATGCAGCCTCTCAGTTTTTATATCGAACAATAAACGAGTCGTCAAGCAAATTGAAGTGCCCGCTGTAGGTCCGTTTAGTCAAGAACTATGACGATGGAAAAAAAAAAGATCCGAAGACATATATGAAGAATGTTTAGCTGTTTTTCCGATAATATGGTAGGAATTTTGAGAAGAAAGAGTGTATTTAAAATAGATTTCGAAAAAAACCTAGCATGTTTTTGAGTAGATATTTTCTAATCGAAAATTCTCTAATTATTGATGGGTGCGTTTTCGAATGAACTGAAATTGCATTTAAGCAACACAAAAATCAAAAATCTGCTCCGTTTGATTTCGGTTGAGTTGTTTGACGAGAAAAGAATTGTATGCCTGAGCCATTTACCTGGTCTGAATGATATCCTATATCGTTTGGCTCGTCTTTTGAGGGGTCTATCGAAGGTGCTGGCGTCAATAACATGCCGACAGGAACGACGTTCTTCGAGATTCTACAAAAAAACATTTTTACTGAAACTTTCTATGCTTTGGAACTTTAAACTTATGCGGTTGATCTTGGTCATTATGCTTCTTTAAAAGTAAGAATAAGCGAGGGTGAAAGTGATGGTAATACTATAGGCTAGGGCTATTGCTATTGCCCCATAGGAAAACTGAGTTTTTTTTGGTTTTGCTTGAAAGAACTCGAAACCCGTATATTTTCTTCTGTCGTGCTATAAATTTTTGGAAAAGTCCAACTCTAGCGAGAAGTCTGCAAAATAAAAGGCTTTCAATTTTCTTTTAAATGTCAAAAATCTTACATTATTGCTCTTTTCATTGCTGCAGAAAGTTACTACGAATGAGTCAGTTGTTGCTAGCGTTAGATACCCCCCTTTTTTCCTCCATACCCAGGTCCACAAAAACAATGTGAGTCCCAAGTCCCAGAGTAATTGGTAATAGAAGAAAAATAGGACCTCGATTCTTTATCTCTTGCTTCTGAAGCTATACGAGTGATCCATCTCGAATGCGCCCAGATCTCATCCAGTCTTTTCTAAATACCTACTATTAAGCTGTAGTTGGGTTTGATATGTATGTTTTTTTTGTGACTTCAAATAGCTTCAAAAATTTTGAATGTTGATCTTTCTTCAAAAACTCGAATATATGATCAAATGTTATTTTGCATTGTTGAGCCACAACCGGGACAGATATAGATCTTTGCCAGTTCACTGTCATTAAACCCGAACTGGAAATGAAAAAAAAATATCGCAGAGTCAACAAAAAATCTGTATCAATCTCGGTTGTGCGCAACAGTACAAAATAACTTCGGAAATTTCCTTCACTCAAAAATGCAACCAGGTTGGTCTTAGGCGGTCCAATTTTCAAGCCATCTTGAAACAGGAAACTTTTCTCAAAATAAGAATGACAACCTGGAATTCGAGTAGACATTCAAGCTGAGTCTTATATACGAATGCATCTTTCTCCAGCAAACATTGCCTGTGTTGAAATTGAGAGACCTAAACGATGTTGTTTTCTTTTTTTTGAAAATATTTTCAATTATCTGCTAGAGCAGAAAAAGTTAGACCTTACCATAATGAAATGCTCTAAAAATGTTGCAAGTCGGCAGTACATGGCTACAAATTCTGGTTGATATGTAAGCAGGTGAACTGAAACAATTTTGAATATTATTTATTAATGATAAATTGAAATGGTCCGAAAGTTAGTTCGCATGTTCTAAAAAACGTAATTTCTCTGCATGGCGATGGATTTTTTTGAAAAGTGCGCAGTGCCGCTGATATGAATTAGTATGAGAAAATGCAAAAATATAAGCAAATTTAAAAAATTATCCAAGATTGGTTTTATTGCATGGTCATAAACGATACTGATGACTATTTTCGTTTTTGAGTCAACAGTGGTACCTTTAACACGAATTAGTGAGAAAATCCAAGAGCTACAAATGAAGATAGTCTCCAAAATTGCATTTTCAAGTAAGTTTGTTGAAAGTACCAAAAGGTAACAAAATGGAACTCAAATAGGAGTAGATATTTTTTTACAAATTGTTTACTCTATTTCAAACCACAAGCTTGCATTTTTACTAACGTCTACAAATTCCTTTACCACTAGAAATACAAAATTTTGAATAATTTTCTTGATTTGCTTCCAACTTTCTCGTTTTCATTCTAAATTATATTAGGTTGGCTCAAAAGTTCTTGCGTAATTCAAACAAAATACAATAACTTTTCAATGACTAAACCTAAATTCACAATCTTGTTAGAAATATAGGAAGGCCTGCGCTCCATGAAGGATGTTTAAGCGTAAGATTTCATGAGCTAGCCCCCGAGAACGAAACTCTCAAATATGGGACTTCAAAATTTGCAATTTTGAGTTTGGTGCCAGAAAATCGCAGAGTGCCGCTAGCTAGCCGAAAAAAATCTATAAAAATTACTTACACTGCTGAAGTCCATAAGCTACTTTGGAGGGCTTTGATCTTGCACGATGAAGCAAAAACAAAAAATACGTGAAATAGTCATTTTGCGGTAAAAATCCACTCATTACCGCAGTTTTTCGGCAAAAACAACTTTTTACACTCCAAAAAACGTCGCAAGGTTTTAAATAGGAAATATGTCTTATTTCTGGTTGCAAACTGTGTTTTTGTGGAAAAATTACATCGATAAGGGGATGTAAAATGACAAATTCCACAAATTTTTTGTTTTCGCATTTCCCTGCGAGATTAAAGCCTGCTAAAATAACGTATGGACTTTTGCAGTGTGAGTAATTTTTACAGATTTTTTTCGGCTAGCTAGCGGCACTCTGCGATTTTCTGGCGCCAAACTCAAAATTGCAAATTTTGAAATCCCATATTTGAGAGCTTCGTTCTCGGGGGCTAGCTCATGAAATCTTGCGCTTAAACCTCTATCATGGAGCGCAAGCCTTCTAATATTTTTAGAGAACAAGGTTGCGAATTTAGGTTTAGTCATTGAAAAGTTATTGAATTTTGTTTGAATTATGCAAGAACTTTAGAGCCAACCTAATATTTTACTCTGTAGCCTATGATTCGTGTTTTTAGACAAAAAATATCTCGCTTCCTTGAAGATGCAAGGATGTTATATTGTTATATTATGAAGAAAAGTTCAATCTTTTAGGCTAATCTAAAAATTCAAAAGAGAATCATATGAGACTCACTCATTTCGAAGGCAGTCAGCGGAATGGTATTGCAGCCTCGACGTAGTTCAGGTTCTGTTTCTGCTAATGTGCCCGTAGGGGCTGAGCATACATCTTCGGCTCTTGGTAAGATCTGAACAATCAATAAAAAATTTCGAAAGTATCCACCCCAATCTGAAGTTGATTAGGTGTAAACGCAGCAGTAGCGAGGCCCCTAACTAAATAACTCCCGGTTCAGAATCTATATTACGAAGCGAGAAATTTGCCCCAGAAAATGGATGCTGCTGAGGTCGCCACGCCCATCAACGGCGTTGACCAAAGTGGGCTCTAGATACCTAGAATTGTTAAAATATGTTCTTCACGATCAAAGGCGGATCTTCGACATCTTGTACTACTGAGTCTATGCAGTTTTGGGCTGATTACTTCCAATCCACCCACTTGATGGGCGTGGCGACCCCAGCAGCATCCACTTTCTATGGCGATTTTCTCGCTAAGGAATGCAAATTCTGCATTGGGACTTGGATAGTTTCTTAGTTTGGGGCCTTGCTATTGTAGTGCATCAACGTTTCACTATCCTTAGATGGATGACTTCAATTCATCATTTTGCTCTTTAAATCAATTTAATAAGGGAATAAAGTTGCAGTTCTGAATTTATGAAGCTAGGGTTGGTAGCTAATGGATTATCGCATTTAGAATGCTAAAAGTTCTTCTCCGATAGATTAAGAACAAAGACTACGTGGAGCGGAGTTTGTCATTTGACTTTTTCATTACTTATCTTAATTGCTCCACGTTGAAAATGCGACAAGTTTATATGTTAGTGATTGCATGTGATGTTAGAGATCCGATTTTTGATGTTATGAATTGTTTTAGAATAGCTTTAGGTTCAAAATAAACATGAATTTTAATTTTTTTACAGAACTTGTATCGCTCTATCGAAATAACTCGAAAAATCCGCATGCTCTTTCAGTATTTACATCATCGCTTATTTGAATGTGTTTTCCATGTTGAAACGCAACAAAGGATTAACCATGAAGGGGCAGGACGCGTCCGAAGGGGCGGATGGCCCTTGAAACAGATATTTCATCTTAAGAGCGATATAAGCTATTCATTGGCAAAAACGTAGATGGGCTCACTTTCATATACAACTAAGTAACTGCTGAACACGATTACCTGTAACCTTTTTCAAATAATCAAAAACTTCGATGACGAGTTCCTACCAATATTATGGAGATGTCACTGCTAGGTTCTATAATTTCAGCATGGTATAAGCGATGACCCGGTACCAGGTCCGAATCGATGTCGAGATCATGAAGAAGAGTTTGTGTAGCTGCAGATACGGCCGAATGAAGTGATGTTTGGCTATTCGAAGGGGCCAATCGCTGATTGAAATTCATTGCCTGTAACTGTACCTTTAAAAGCCTCTATAAAAGTTCTTCAAGGAAAAATGTTTACCTTCAACCACAACCATTCTTCTTTAGTTACATGAGGATTTTCACGAATATGTACAAATGGAAGCATAGAGGGTAAATTGTCTGGCACAACAACACGTATAGTATTTAACGACGAGTGTAGTTTTAGGTAGCATAGGTAAAGTCCCCTGAATTGTAACAACGAAATATATATATATATATATATATATATATATATATATATATTAGGTTGGCGGATAATTTCTGTTACACTTTTTTCGTAAAATTGTGAAAAGTTCCAGAAGTTCTATAGAATCTTCAAATTTGCTCCATATGTAGGCCACGGCAGGGCGTACACAACAGTATGACTGATGCCGCAAATGCACAATTAGCCGGCAACTTTACGACAACTTTATAAGCACGCTCAAAATTTTCATTTTTTCTTTGATTTTTTTCTCTGCGTCTAACTGTGTTTTTTCCTTCCCACAACTTTTTTAGAACATATTTTCGCATTGTCTCTTTTATGGTAGTAGTGAAAAAACAACTCAAAAAACCAAAAATTTGTCGAAAATTTTTCTTCTTGTGTGCATCGTGTAGGATTTGGTACGGAAAGCTTGGAAATAATTTTTGTAAATTTTTAAAGAATGTTCTTCATGTCAAAATGCCAAAGTGCGATGACACGTTGGCGTGTTGGCGCAACATGTAGCTCATGCGATCATGGCGGACATGATTGTGCCATTCCCCTATGTTCGCCAAAACTATGGACCATACCCTGCCTGAATACCTGCATCGCCCAGTCTCTTCCCAGTCACCTGGAAGCATGCCAACCCGGTGACAAAAATGTCCATAAAATGTACTCCCACCGCTAAAGTGGGTGTTTTGCGCACCCGCGGATCTGACAGTACCGATGGGTAGACCTTCGCAACCCGCCAACACTCCTTAAACATAAGATTTTTGAAAGTTTCTCAGATTTTTAGAAGATAAAAATAAAAGTGTAACAGAAATTATCCGCCAACCTAATATATACTGATGGATTTAACGATTAATATAGCGAGGACTACATTTGCTCAAGGCCGTGTTTGAAAATGCAGGCTACTTGCTGTCGACCTACGTGTAGAAATTTTTTTTACGCGCAAATGTTGTTGGCAATGCAAGAGCACTATTTTGGATTTTTGGTTATTTTTTAAAACATTTTATTATTTGTATGAATTAGATGTTTATTCTTTACATTTTGTGAACTCAAGAGATAAGGAATTTTTGATGTCGCAAAATGAGATCGAAAAGTTTAGTTTTCTTATGGGGCAGCAATTTTAGAGGGAAGACTATTCAAACTAACTTTTTCAAAGTGATTTGGCTGCTTTCATAGAAATTCATTATATTCATGCTTTCGGTAATTAAAGTGCTAATGACAGTAGAATCGCTTTTCTTCTTCAGCAATTTGTCAAAGCTTAGCCATCGAAGTGTCATAGTCTGTACGAGCTGAAAAAGGAACAAATAATTTATCGATGAGGAAAAGTATGACAAACCAACCCGATCTCTTTCTTTGCTGCCGACAAATCTAACAGTAATCAGGAAAACACAGTCTCCACATAAGACAGGAGCGTGATGTAGGAATCCAATATCATCTATTCCGAGGGCTGTGTGCATGGTGGTGACCGCATCCATTAGCTTTTTCCGAAAATAAAAAACGTGAAATATACTCTAATTAAGGCTAATGATCTCCATTTCAAGTGGGCTAGATGAATCTAGCCCAGAAATTTTGGAAAAAGCATTTGAATATTTTGAAGGGTGTTCGAATTATTTTCTGAATATCATTATTATCATTATATTAAGTCGGTGCAAAAGTTTTGTCAGTTTTTGCAATCCATCGGCAATCACGCTAGAATGTAGATAAACAAAGACTTCAAAATGTATCCGATGCAGAATTTCTTCCTCTTTCCAGCTTCTAAACTTCCATTGTGTTTCGTTGCGAGAGTGACGAGATATTTGCTGCAAATTACAACCACTCGTTTTTACCATGTCCAATTTTCGCAATTTTTTAAAATTTTTGTTTGAGACTTTCGAAGGAGCCCTAACAACCAGCAGATAGGGCAAACCTTTTGCCAACTTATGCAATTTTTTCTTTTTATCAGCTGCTTTTCCAGATTTTTGCTAAGTAATTTTCTAAAAGTCTTGTGTTTTTGAAAAATTGTGTTGTGTCCTCCACGTCGGACACGTCGACTCTTCGTCCTGAGGCAGCACACGAGGAACAGAGAATATTTATTAGAAAATAATAGAACAGCAAAATAAAAGAGGCAGTTGAGTGAACAGACGAACTGATAATGGCTAACAGCGAGCGCCTTTTATAGCGCTCATTTCCCGCGCATTGAGGTCGCAGGCGCCTCAGCGAGGGCAGATCATACGAGAAAACAACTGATCAGACACTAACATAACACCTCCCCCAGTAGGGTAGTTACACAAAACTAGCCTATGATAAAAGCATGAACTACAAATATGAACAGCTAAGAAATCGATTACACATAGATATCACTATCATTCAAACAACTACAAATCTAATGAAACAAACATACGATAACATACTATGGACTAGGTTGGAACCGCTGTACCGGTCTTCTCGTTCTGCTCGATCTCCGAAGCGTTTTCGGTGGCGTGGAGGGCTCCTGGCTTGATGTCGACGTCGATGTCGTTGAATCCACGGGTACTGGCACATCGCTCGCGATCGCTTGCTCGGAACTCCCTTCAGCAGCATTGCCATTCCTCGATAGTGTGTCGTCTTCTGTCAGAACATCTAAAAGTATCTTCAAAGCTTCGGATTGTTGTTGAAGTTGTTGTCATACGGCGACTTGTTCACTAACGCTTCGATGTCGCAGCTGATTTGCATGCTTCTTGCATATCTCATCACCAACCATAACTTCATAATTGACACGTCCAATGCGTCTCATAACGTTCCTTTCACCCAGTGGAAGTGGTGTGGCTTCCATTGCTTAGCGTATACCAGGTCACCAACTTCGAAATCTTTTCGAACGACTCCATGCTTTTGGTCGAACTGATCCTTCATGCGCTCCCGTCTCCTTCGTGCGAGTGGGTCTTCTGCATCTTCTGCCATCGGGAGTAACAGACTTAATTTTGTGCGCAAGTTACTGCCTAGAAACAATTCTGCTGGCGTCTTGTCGTCTAAGTTCGCGTTTGGCGTTGTCCTATACGCTTGTAATACTACATTCAGAGTCTCTTCTGTTGGTCTTTCCTCCCCCTCTAGTTTCTTGATTCCGCGTTTCAGCGTATCAACGAAACGCTCTGCCTGCCCATTCGATTGAGGGTGGTACGGAGCAGTCCTTATGTGGGTAATTCCACCTTCGTCGCACATCTTCTTAAACAAGTCCGACGTGAATTGTGTACCGTTGTCGCTCACTATTGTTTGCGGTAATCCATACCTCGCAAATAAATTCTTTAAAGCCTTCACTGTTTTCGCAGCCGAGATGTTGCTCATCTCGATCATTTCAGGCCATTTGCTGTACGCATCCACAACGACCAAGTAGAAGACTCCTTGCATAGGTCCAGCGAAGTCGATGTGTATCCTCTGCCACACTCGAGTCGCGGATGGCCATGCTTCTAATGGTACTTTCGTCGGATTCTTGGCTAATTCCTGACATTTCGTACATCTTCGTACCAAGTCTTCGCAATCTTTATCGATGTTCGGCCAGTAGACGTAACTTCGAGCCAGCTTCTTCATCCTCACAATCCCTGGATGACCACTATGCAGCTCCTTCAAAACATTTCCTCGAAGCTCCTTGGGTATCACAACCCTTTCGACTGACATCAAGCATTGTCCCACAACTAACAATGTCTCTCTTCGATTTCGAAAATGTGCCACTTCTCCATTTACTTCTGGCCACTTTCCTTTCTGCACGTAGGTGAGTACTCTTCTAAGTACTGGATCTTTCTTCGTCCAAGTTTGTACATCAGATACCGTTACTGGCAGTTTCCTTATGCAGCTCCTCAGCATATAGTCAACGTCGTTCTCAACGGCAGCTATCACGACATCTTCTTCGAGATTCTGATTCTTCTTCATCAACCTTGACAAGCCATCTGCTTGTCCAAACTTCGTTGTTTGAACATATTTTATGTCGAAGTCATATCCAAGTAGAATTGTAGCCCATCTCATGAGTCGGTTCGCGGAGTAGACTGGAACTCCTTTCTTATCACCGAAGATGGCTAACAGTGGTTGATGGTCCGTCAGTAGCAGAAACTTTCGTCCGAATATGTACTTGTGGAATTTCTTGACAGCAAAGACAATTCCCAATGCTTCCTTTTCGATCTGCGAATAATTCTTTTCTGCTTTCGTAAGCGACCGCGATGCATGCGCAATTGGCTTTTCGGATCCATCAGGATATCTGTGCGATATCACGCATCCAATTCCATAATCGCTGGCGTCCGCTGCCACGACGATCTTCTGTCTTGGATCGTAGTGAGCAAGACTGAGCTCACTTGACAATGTACTCTTGAGCTTTTCGAAGGCTTCTTGATGTGTTCGTGTCCATTCCCATTTCGCATCTTTCTTGAGCATCGCGTCCAATGGCCCACGAAGATCCTTGATCTTTGGCATAAACGCTGCATAGTACGTTATCATGCCAAGAAAAGCTCTCAATTGATTAACGTTCTTCGGCTCATCCATCTTCTTGATTGCTTCGATCTTCTCTGAGTTTGGCCTTCTGCCATTTCGATCTACTATGAAGCCGAGATATCGTATTTCTGGCTTGCCTAAAGAACACTTCTCCAACCGAATCCTGAATCCATATTCGGCTATCCTTGCAAAAACAGCTAGCAAGTTCTCCATATGTTCTTCTTCGGTTCTTCCACAAACCAAGATGTCGTCCAGGTAGGTTGCTACTCCTCGCAGACCATTCACCATCTTGTTCATGATTTGCTGGAAGATCCCTGGTGCTGTCTTGATTCCAAAAGGCAGTCTGTTGTACTGATACAGTCCTCTATGCGTATTTATTACGACCAATTTCTTCGCTTCTTCTGACAGCTCGATTTGCAGATAGGCGTCCGACAGATCTATCTGCGAAAACACCGTGCCTCCATTGAGGGATGCGAATATATCCTCCGGCAATGGCAACGGGTAATCATACGACTCCAGCGCTTTGTTGAGTCCAGTTGAGAAGTCAGCACACACTCTCAACTTTCCATTCGCTTTCCTTCCTAACACACACAGTGGGAGCTGCCCATTCACTGTGTGTTACTGGACTTATGACCTTCAGTTCCAATAGTCTATCCAACTCCTTTTCGACAGCTTCGAGTGCAGCGTGGGGGACAGGCCTGCAAGCCTTGAATACTGGACGAACATTTTCGTCAACTCTCAGATGCGCTTTTTCCTTTGTGCAGAGTCCTAGACCTTCTTCGCAGACTTCTGGGTAAGCTTCCTTTATCTTCAAAGCGATGTCCCTGGTTTGCTGCTCTGTCTTCACTTCAGCAACTATTCTGCTTAAGTGGTACGACATATCTTCGTTCTTCTGGATCCACTCAAGTCCTAGTAGTGAGTTGTGGGGCGTCACGTATGCGTAGCCTTCGCTTCTGGATCCTTTGATTTCGTACTCACACCATAGCTTTCCATGGACTTTCATGGAGCCTCCACTAGCGTTCTTGACAACCACGTTTGTCTGCTCTAATCGAGGAGCGCCCATGCTCTTCCAAACTGATTCGTTCAGCAGCGTGATGTCTGATCTAGTATCCAACAGAAAGCTGACTGGATGACTATTCACTTTCGCTTCCACATATACGCGAGTAGTCGAATTCACTTCCATCATTGCGTTCGCAATCTTCGCAACTCTATGCACTTGGCGTTTTGGTTTCGTCCAATTTCTGTTCTTGCTGGTGTCGCTGCTTCTGTGGATTCTTCGTTTCGAATCTTGCTGAACAAGTGCTTTTCTCTCCGCTACTTGTTCGCAATACTTCTCCTTGTGGCCTGTCTTCTTGCACTTCTTGCAATACCACAGCTTCGCTTTGCATTCCCTGGCAAAGTGAGCTTTACCACAGTTCCAGCATTCCAGCTTCTTGGGTTCTTCCTTGCTTGTGGCTTCGACAATCTTCGTGTAACCAGCCACAGTCTCGCTATCCTTCTTGAGACTAAGGAAGTTTCACACTCCAGGTACAATTCCTGTAGCGACATCTTTCGTCCAGCCTTGTACTCCTTGTCCAGTACGGCTATGAGTCGCTGCCTGATTTCGGCTTCTTTTCGGCTCTTCAGGCCAAAAATCCATAAAAGACACTTGATCCCATCGCTATCCAAGTCGTGGATCTTCGCTTTCTCGCACAGTTCGTTCACTCTTCCCGTATACATGAGGTAATCTTCGGAATCCGCCTTCTCCAGTTTCAAGCACTGGTATCGCATAGTGAACTCCGAAATCTTCACATCGAACAGCTGCTTCAACGTTTCGACGGTTTCTTCAAACTTGATCGCGGTCACCTCCTTCGGTAACACATGCCTCTGGTATTTTTCGAAAGATTCCTTGTCGAGCTTTTCGCAGAGAAGCCTCACCCTGGCACTCTCTGTGAGTTGCTTCGCATCTTCGACAAAGACGTCCTTGTAGCGAGCATACCATTTACTGAAGCACATGTCCGCTTCGGGGTCAAAGTAGAATTTTTCGATTCTATTGCTGAGGGCGGACATCATGTTCGGGATTTCGACTGATGTACTGCTTCGTCCAGTACCTGTGATGTGCTTCAGAAGCTCCATCATTTCTCTTCGTTCCTCTCTCATCTCCTGGAGCAAGATCAGCAACTCCTCTGAGCCAATCTTCGCCATGCTGATCTATCAGTTCGTTTTGACCGCTCTCTGCAGTCTCCTCTTCGTGATTTCCTCGGACTTCGTTGGTTCGGCTACTTCTTCGAATAGTAGCCGCCGCTCCTGATCGCCACTGTTGTGTCCTCCACGTCGGACACGTCGACTCTTCGTCCTGAGGCAGCACACGAGGAACAGAGAATATTTATTAGAAAATAATAGAACAGCAAAATAAAAGAGGCAGTTGAGTGAACAGACGAACTGATAATGGCTAACAGCGAGCGCCTTTTATAGCGCTCATTTCCCGCGCTTTGAGGTCGCAGGCGCCTCAGCGAGGGCAGATCATACGAGAAAACAACTGATCAGACACTAACATAACAAATTGCATAACCTGTTATTGCACCAAACATTGCAAAACCTACAGAAAACTGAGGTCTCAACACTCGATTATTACTACCGCCACCATTACAAATCAAATAAGCGATTTTCGCTTCAAATTATGAGGATTTTGAAACATAGGTTACACCTGTGCGCACTCCTGAAATTGAGAAATACTGCGATTTTCCCCACAAATTTCGCCTGTCTCGGCAAAAAAAGACAAGTGTTAGAAAGAGGAGAAAAATCTGCATCGAATGGTGACTGAAGTGTTTAACATTTTATGTTCTACGAGATCAAAATAGGCTGAATGTAATTTGGTCACTTCAAAAAATAAATCGTAGAAATTCTGAAAGACAAGCTGTAGCGCTACAAAAAATTGTTTCTGTTGGCAAAAGGTTTGCCCTATCTGCTGGTTGTTAGGGCTCCTTCGAAAGTCTCAAACAAAAATTTTAAAAAATTGCGAAAATTGGACATGGTAAAAACGAGTGGTTGTAATTTGCAGCAAATATCTCGTCACTCTCGCAACGAAACACAATTGAATTTTAGTAGCTGGAAAGAGGAAGAAATTCTGCATCGGATAAATTTTGAAGTCTTTGTTTATCTTCATTCTAGCGTGATTGCCGATGGATTGAAAAAACTGACAAAACTTTTGCACCGACCTAATATGTAATCAGACGTATCCCAAACTGAATTTAAAAAAACCTAATTCATCCATCACTTCAAGAATTGTGCGGAAAAAGCAAGTCATAAAAGTAAACTCAAAGCTAAAATCAGGCCTGGTGGACTTTAGCATTTTTGCAAAAGAATCTGGAATCAGTACCCGAATATCTCTACAACAAAGTAAATGCTTTGAGGACTTGTCGAAAAGTGCATTGACTAATCTCTACAAAAATTGTTGAGTCGCCTTTTTTGGAATCTATAGGAAAGAATGAAATTGTGTAATTTTGTTGCAGAACTGAAATTCTGACCCAATTTGGAAACATAGTCTTACCTCAGACCCTTATCGATGTTAAGGTCACCCGGAACAGATTCGGACAATGTTCCAACTTCTTCCCAACAAAGCGACATCTTCATTAGCCAAAGAAAATCGTCATTCGCAATAGTGGTGACAGTGTTATCAACCTAGAAAAGTCTAGTAGAAATTTTTTTCGCAAAATCTTGCCAGACTTACATGGATGAGGGGTAAACAGTCGTCGCTTGTACATAGCACCTTACCGTCAGTATAAAGAACGGATCCTAAGTAGATTCCTCTGCAAATACTTGGGTTCATTTAAGGATATAATGGGTAGGTGTTGAATTGAAAAAAAGCAAAATTGAGCTTCAAACACTTGTTCTCATACCTCGTTACAGATTTGGAGAATTTTCTGCCAGCCATAAAAAACTCTTTCAGGCTATTTTTCTTCTTTTTGACCGTTTCTTCAGAAGAGGAGAAAACTTAAAAGGTGTAAGTTTATTTCAGGTAGAAGTAGATCAAAGTTAATTTTGAGGGTTTAAAATGTCAGCCATGTAGTATGTTTTCAAGTCTTTATACCCTCTTATCTGTTTTTAGGATTTGCATCCTGTTTATGGATATTTTTTACCCCCTCCCCTTCCTTTAATCTTTTTTTTTCAAATCAAAGGTCGCTGATGTTTGCGACAAGCACTCGTTTGAGGATATTCATATAGAAGAAAAGTGTAAAATATCTTCTCGAGGAATACATGAAGATAGTAAAATTTAAATTCAAGAATTTAAAAGAATTCATATGAGGAACCATCACAAAATGGCTTTTCTGCACTTAAAAAATAAAAGTTTCGGTAGCACTGCTTACTAGTTTTCCAGACAGGAGACTGACGATAACGAGTAACGTCATCACCAAGTTTGCTCATGGATTCCATATGTTCGTTCCATCCTTCTGGTTTTCCAGCGACATCGTACCAGCCTGGAAACGCAACCCATTAACGAAAGCAATGTTGTACAGCTTTGATATTCGAGTTGTACTAGGAGTAGAACCTTGCCTCAGATTTTATCACTCAAAATTCTGCTTCTCTGGCCGTGAAATGTCTAAATGGGCGGGCTTGGCAGAGCAAATAGCCAATCGCTGCGTAGATGGGCGTAAACATTAGGACCTGCTCCAATCATCAGTGTACATGCAACCCCGCCCCCCAGTCACCACTATTTTAAGGTTGGTAAGGCTTTACTATTCAGAGGCCTGGAAACTCACTTGATAACTCTACAAACATCGGTTGAGCTAATGTAGGACTTGAGTATCCAAGTATTCCACCGCAAGAGACGCGAAAGCACAATTTTGTGTTTGTTGGTAGCTCAGTCACGATTACTTCACCCTTTCGCATATCTGTCTCCACATAGCCGCCGAGAATTTTTGAAAAATCCGGTTGGGTAGACCATTCGACTAAGAAAAGGAAATTTAAGAATTTTTTTTACGAAAAAAATTATGGACAGGCTCACCCATGTATTTTATTACTGGCTCCGTTCTTTCACGAGCACACTCAACATGTAGTAGAACGCTACTTCGCGAGTTGCTTTCAACCTGAAGACAAGACTAAGCTTAGTGTCTCTGTCATATAGAAATTTTTCCTCGTGATTTTGAAAATATAGCTCGGTTTTTGGAATTGTAGGTGATGACCAATCAGATTATTATAGATAGCCCCCGAGATTGGAAAATTTCAACAACTTTCTAGCCTAAGGCACGACAGTTTGAGAAAAATTTGACTGAAAATGAATACACAAGTTTATAGTCGGCTTTCCTGTAAATATTAACCTTTCTCCTCAATCAAAGTTTTTTCAAACTTTCGATAAACTTTCATAAACGTCAAAATCGTTGTTAAATTGTTAAAGATTTGTGAAGTAGAAAATGATATTATTATACCTCCATTTCCTTAGATGTATCGAAGATTTTGGTGCTCATAAAATCAAGAAATAATACTTATGAAATTTTTGTTGTCTGTTCCAGAACAAGATTGTGGAAATGTAGAAGTGGAAATTTATGTATAAGTATATGGAATCCTATATCTTTTGAGTAAATATCAAATGAGACCAAAGATGATGGTAACTTTCTTAGAATGGGTATGTTTTTGAGCTATTTCTAATCGCTCACAGTAAAATATCGATGTTAACAATTCTTGTGTGTTTTTACAGTTCTTTCCAAAGCTATGAAATTCTTTTTGATAGTATGCCCACACAAGAATGAGGAGCGATTCAGTTAGAATCATTTATATGCATATCATGCAGATTACCTAGAACATTATGCAAAAAAATCCCAAAATTTTGCCGTGAAGACCTATTTCAAGCTACACTTGTTGGCACATTTATTATAAGTCTCTAAAGTTTGGGATAAGATCGGATAATTGCTGAATTGTTGGTAATTGGATAGTGACAGCACGGTACCTTTACAAATTCGGGTGGATCCGGTAGTTGAACAGTTGACAGTGTTCGAGCCATTCGTTCGAGTACAAGAAGATGAGCGCTCCATAAGCGACCTACTTTGTTTACTTCCTGCAAAAAAAATCAGAGTTTTGACATTTTTATTAGAAAAATTGGAGTTTTTACTCTTATACAGAAATCGAAAAATATCACCTTTGTCTGCTCAGTCGAAGCCAATTTGGCGATTTGCTCACAAGTAAATGTTGCAGCCGAATCAAGAGCTACCTTCCTTTTCTCGATACTGTTCACTAAAATAACGATTCAGGAGGGAACAAGAAAAGCAGTTACCCATTCAAAATATGGAACACGTATGTAATGCTAAAAAAATTTGACGACTAATTTATTGTTGCGTTGCCGACAACATTTGCGCGTAATAATGACGATGTTCTACAAATAATTTTCACGCGCAAGTCTCGGGCAAGCTGCCGGCATTGCGAGCATGTCATGAGTTTATGCGCAATGATTATCGCAGCCAGAACGGCACTATATTAAACGTCAAACCTATAGGACTTGACGTAATGTTATTCCACTTGAGAATATTAAGCAAGGGTGTGGAAGCAGTGCAGATTAGGTAGCGGTAAGTCCAGTTATGTTTGAGCATATTTTCTTAATCTCTGTAGACAATTCTGACTGATTTGGTAAATTCTGCAGAACCACGAGATTTCTTCTAAAAAGCCTAAGACTCTGCAGACTTTTATGTCTGAATAAATTATGAAAGCATTGGCATCTTCAAGGCGGGATTCACATCACGTACGAATTTTAAAAGAATAACAAGGAACCAATCAGCTTGTGTCCGGCTCTCACTCCTTGTGGGCGGGATCATCCCAGCAGGCGGAGTTGTCCCAGTTTTGCGCAATGTTGGAAACTGTTGTATTATGTAATCCCATAGCCGGGTTTTGTACGGTAATTACATTCAACTTACAGAAATTTTCTTCGCACATAGCTAATACTCTAAATTCTAGTGAATTTGCAGTTTATCTAGTGCATTTGCAGTGTCAACAACATTCGCGCGTGGTAAGGGCTATGAGGTACAAAATTGGGATATTGAGTTACCGCCTATTTTATTTTGGCGCAAATGATCGCAGAGGCGCTTCATTAGTGTTGGAAACTATGAATTTCAAAAGTCTGAACACTTAGCAAGACGCTGTAAAAAGCTAAGGACTTACTTGAAAGATTTTCTTTTGCACCAAAGTTTTGCAATGAACGAACACATTGCGTTGAACGAAGATTCAGGGCCACATCGAGAAGTGTCCACTTTCTCGAGTATTCGGCGTACGGTCCACATATGAGTTTTGTATTTACATTAAAATAGGATTTGCGTAGAACTGATTGTAAGCCAGCATCGTCGTCCTTTTCGATGTATTGCAGGGCAGCTAAATGTGATAAGTAAGTTATACATAGTCATATTTCCTAGGCTTTAAAGAAGTGTTTTTGCTTCAGGATTATAGATGTGGTTGGATACACAGTTGAAAAAAAGAAAGAAAGTCTAATGTATGGACACTGGGAAGGGATCTTTCATATTGCCTTGCAGTAGCGGCGCTCGTCTGATTGGTCAGAATCGGCTGCGATTGGTCAAGTTCCAAGAGGGCGGAATAAGGGCAAAAATCAGTTGAGTTGCATTGCAAACAACTTTTGTACATTTATCATGCAAGTAATCCTCTACACTCTTCCACTGACCATGCGTAACTCGTCCACAGTTTTTAGCAGCGCCGCACGCAGCGAAGTGAGTTCGCGCGCAAGCGTTTAGCAGGGCTTTCATTCTTTGACAAATTAATCTGGTAAAAATAAGTTAATCTAAAAATCATGGAAATTCAGCTAAACAATGCCCAAAAACTTACAAAGCATGTCGATTGCGTTGTTGTTCCAAACTTTTCTCGTACTTGGTGAGTCATCGTCTGGTCGAAACTTCTGACGCACATCTATGCTTCCTTGGCTATGCACTAAATCATTTAATCTTTGCAAAATAAACTCTGGATCTACATGGAACAAACTAAAAAAGTATTTTTTCCTCGAATCTATTTTGTAAAGAAATTTTTGCTTTTTTCGTCTTACCAACCTCGAGCGAACTTAAGCAAGCGATGAGGCATCAAAGCAAAGTCCTAGTTTTATCATTTGCGCGATTTTTTTTTCGAATTTTCAAATGAGTCTATTTTTCAGCTCCAACTTTCGCTAGCAATCCAATCACTCGCGATCACCGTTATGCTACTATAGCTCCAGATATAATATTAGATTGTCCCAGAAGTAAAGACCATTTTCGAATAGATTGAGCTGTTCTTGTTTTCCACAGACTTGGGGTACGATTAGATAGACTGGAGCAAGCTCTACAAAGACCCCCAAAGATCTAACTAAGCTGTAATCCAGGTATTTTGGAGCCAAAAATCAAATTTTTCAGCTACCCGCAAAATCGGATTTCCTTTCAGAAGATTCCTTTGGACTTCGAACTTGGTCTTTATACTGAAGACACATATTAGGTTGTTGCGAAAATAATGTCCGTTTTTCTAGGCATATATTCCAAACGACTTTTCTCCTTCAGGCTTTCTTTTTCGATACAGATTTTGCACATCATTAGAAAGCTTTCTTCATGTACTTTCTAACGGTGGTAAAACTAAGCTTTTACCTCATCTGTGAGATTTTCACCAGCATTTTGAACAGCCGCACTCAAAATCAAAATTTCATTGCTCCAACTTTCTTGGCCATAATTCAGGCGCAAATAAACGAATTCTTCTGAAAACATAGCTACTGTATAGGATTGATATTGTTTACTTATTGCATGTTTGAATAAATTTTTCAATTATACCTGAACTGACAGGTCGAGCTTCAAAAAAGATACTCGCTGCCTGAAACTCCATGGGTTCGAAATTTTTCCTGATTAGGGCAGTCGCTGAAACTTCGCTCACTTCTGTAGGCTTAAGGTGAGGACATCTTATCTACAATTTATGCAGAGAAACTTAGCTATTCAGTGCATGAAAAATTCCAAGTTTTCATAGTTTGGGACTTCCAACCTATCACAAATAGGCTTAAAAAAGTGAACAATTTTGAATTTCTATCTTTTTTAACTCGCAGAACTTCTTCGCTAAAGTTCTTTCTATATATGATTTTACTAGTGGGTTGGGTCTACAAAATAAGCTGACTAGCAGCCGTAACAACAAAACTTGAATGAATTTGTAATCTTTCAAAAACGAGGTTTTCAAAAGCAAAACTTTTGGTTTTTGACGCATGGTTTTCTTCCCGTTTGCGATATCAGTATATGCAGGTGCGCCTTAGATTACGAAAGATTTGCTGCTTCTGATGGTCTTGACCGCATTCAAAAATATGAAGACTGAACGAAGTTATAGCTTTTCAAAGTGAAATTTTGCAAAGCGGACATTATTTTTGCAACAACCTAATAGTAGTACCCAAAATATATTTGATGGATTTTTTCGGAGCTCAAATTGGTTCATGTAGAACTTGTATTTCGCGATGATAGGAGCACATACAGGGATAAAGTTTCAAGATTATACTTAGTAAGGCTTGTAGTATACAATGACATATGTAGGAGGGCTGGGGGCGGAGTTTGCCATTTTTGGACTATCTTTTTTCCTCGTTTTCTATGAGCTGAAAAAATCCAGTAAAAGCGTCTTTGAGTGCTACTATGTGCCTACTGTATAATGACCAAGTAGGGGGTCCGTAGTAGTTGTTCTCGTAAAAATCAATTTTCAGGTGTCAAAAATTTTTTTTGGCTTCAGACTTTGCATGGAATGCGACTTAGGCAGGTCTTTGGTAGTTAGTAGAGCTTGGTCTGCTTTATCGAATGATATCTCAAGTCTGCTACGAGAACAAAAACAGCTTGAATCAGTTTTTTGGGATAACCTAACAGAAAGCGGCGTTTTTCCGGTTTTTAACTGTTTTTCCTAATTTTCGCTAATTTTCCTCTCTGTCTACTCATATACTAGAGACTGTGAAGCCACACCTCTATGAACACCTCGAATTATACGTCGTAAGTTCTGCGAAGTCATGGGAAACTTCTTTCCTGAATTTCGAGGTACCACCTCGTACCGAGTCCTGGTCCTGGATGGATACTTAAACTTAATTTCAAAACATAGAAGCTGTGAGATTAGCGAGGAACGTTATTCAAAAAGGCACGTTTTCAAACAAAAGACATATCATCTGCCAAGGAGAAAAGCAAGTATGTTTTTGCAAGAAAATGTTTTTGACACATGCTTCTCTTGAAATGCACAGGTATGTTGAAGCGAAAAGAAGATGAAATGGAACAAAATATCGGAATACGAGGGAACGAAGACACGTATCACAATTCATCAATTACTACATGGTCGTTGAGTGGCTGTGCTAACTAACAAGGGAAGGATACTTAATCGCACTGACGATTGGGTAAGCGGTGTATACCGCGTATACCGTCCCAGACGGTGATCTCTAAACCGCAATCCATATCTGCTATGACGTCATTCTGGAGGAGTTATAAAGGATTTTTGGTGCAGTGGATAGTGGCTTGGACTGCAGAGCTGGACGTCGTGGGTTCGATTCCTCTGGGAGGCCACTCGTTTTGCATTTTTGTAAATTTGCAGGCAAATTGCAAAACCTTTCTACATTGAAAAAAGTTGATTTTTACAATTTGAAGCAATATATTTGCATTTATTGGCACTGAAACACCGTCTAACCTAAATAACACTCGTTTTTAGCCTTTTTCATTAAAAACTTTACACAGTTTTACATTGAAAGGGCTTCATGAACACATATAATATGAAAGCACAAAATGTGCGAATGTGCTCCTCTCTATGTTGAGCACGAATTCGGATTTTTTCAATATAAACTTGAGTAAAGTACTGAAAAGGGCTAAAAACGAGTGTTTTTATATTAGACTGTGTTTCAGTGCCAATAAATGCAAATATATTGCTTCAAATTGTAAAAATCAACTTTTTTTAAGGTAGACAGGTTTTGCAATCTGCCTGCTAAGATTTACAAAAATGCAAAACGAGTGGCCTCCCAGAGTAATCGAACCCACGACGTCCAGCTCTGCAGTCCAAGCCACTATCCACTGCACCAAAAATCCTTTATAACTCCTCCAGAATGACGTCATAGCAGATATGGATTGCGGTTTAGAGATCACCGTCTGGGGACGGTATACGCGGTATACACCGCTTACCCAATCGTCAGTGCGATTAAGTATCCTTCCCTTGTAAGAATAATTAATTAAAAGAAAATCATGGGCTTTGGAAGAAACAAAAAGTTGACAATGTAAATCATTTCGGAAATTTTGGAACTCGAAATGGAAGAAAGTCAGAGGCGCTTGAGTCTTCGTAGTCTAACTGCTTCGTAAATAGGCAGATTAAACAGAAGGTGAAAGGTCTTAGTTGGAGACATGGCAAAAACGACTAGAATGCGGTCAATAGAGGTAAGGCGCTTTTTACTTATATGACGGCGAAGTTAAAAATGTGAAACGCCTTTATAATAGGTTGGCACATAAGTAATATTAATTTCATATATTCTTTGTCTTTTTTGAACGTAGCGCATCCATATTCTGACAATATAAAGATTATGATGTAAGCTGCAAATGCAGACACTTTTGCCGAATTTTGCTTTCTTATCAAATCTAAAGGGGAAAAAAGAGTACTGATTAATAAGATCTTCAAGTACATATAAATTCGAAATTCATTTTAGTTTTTTACGCTCAAATGGTATCGGGGCTTAGAACAAGATCGGTGGAGTAGCCTTCTTGGTGCAGCTCTTCAGTAGTTCCCAAGAACTGCAAAAATAGTAAAATTGTAAAATTGGCTTGGTTACAGAAAAAGCTTTGTGTGTCTCTCTATGTAAGTTGAAGGATGTGAATAGAGACGAGAGATTATCGATGACTGGAAAAGGAAATGTAAGGAAATATTGGTTATAATGCGTGACTGAAATCCCAACACCTACCCTGTTATTGTTATTATGTATGTAAGGGTTATGTTAGGTTTACGGTATAAGTTTTAAATTTTTGATTTCGCAGATTTTGCTGAAACTTGGTCTATGGGGGCTTTTCGACATGCTGATCACTAAAATGAGACATGTCTCGCATGAAAAGGTTTTATCTTCCGAAAGGTCAAGGAATGGATTTTATTTTAGCAACACATGAATATATTCGTTTCCACCGTATTGGTTTACCCTACTGTGCGAAGTTTTAGCGATTCTGAGGTTTATTTAAGTTATCGACAAGTCGCCCTCGAAATTTAACGCATTTGACTTGTTCTACTTTTCAAAGGCGCCTTAACTTGGCTTAGCTTTAAATTTACTTCTTTTTATTGATTCTAAATTGTCAACTTCTAGCTGTGCTGCCTACAATTCCTTTGTGATAAATTTGATTCAGGTTTTGTATGGCTTTAAGTTTGCCAAAAAAATCTTTGAACCTCGATTTTCAGAAGTTTTCGAGGAATGCTTAAATTCTTTCCACTACTTTATCAATAATCAAATGCTTTGCACAGACTTGCAGCTTACATCAATCTTACATGAGGCCAGACAATGAGAGCACTTCATTAAATAAAACGAAATTTATGAAAAAAGTTACAAAATTCATGTACCACCCTAATAATAGTTTTGGTGGTTCTTATTATTAATCACCAAAACAGAGTAACTCACAGTGTCTCCTAACTTTTAGAAAAGGTTTGCGATAGATTTTTGTTACCATGCATGTATTAGGTTGGTTCATAATTAATGCACGTTTTGAATTTCAACCGCAATAAGTCATACACTTTTCATTCTTATATAGGCTTCAAAGTACCGTTGGATAGAGCAAAGCAAGCTCTACAAGATGGCACTCATTTCTTTGCACCATGCTCGATCCACGGAGAGTTCGAACTCAAAATCTAAAGATTTCCAAATGCCCAAAAAATCGGAAAAAATCAGATCTTCGTCCAAATAATTTCTACGGACCTCCCACTCGCTCACATCAATACTATCGATATCTGATATCCATATGTGCGATTGCCGTATTTTTTCCTTGACTAGAAATTGAGAAAACGAAAATTTCCCTGATTTTCTCAAAGCAATGCTGAGCCGTTTTTGCACATGTAGTTCTATACTACAAGCCTAGGTAAGCATAAGTGTAGGTTTTCAGCCTATTTCGAACGGTACTTTTCGAGAAATGTCGATTTTAGCACTGAAACTGAAACGAAAAAATCCGAATTTGTTATTTTTCGAAAACTACCGCTTGGAATGGGCTGAAAATCTACAGTTATACTTACCTAGGCTTGTAGTATAGAACTACATATGCAAAAACGGCTCAGCATTGCTTTGAGAAAATCAGGGAAATTTTCGTTATCTCAATTTCTAGTCAAGGGAAAAATGCGGCAATCGCACATATGGATATCAGATATCGATAGTATTGATGTGAGCGAGTGGGAGGTCCGTAGAAATTATTTGGACGAAGATCTGATTTTTTTCAATTTTTCGGGCATTTGGAAATCTTTAGATTTTGAGTTCGAACTCTCCGTGGATCGAGCATGGCGCAAATTCATGAGTGCCATCTTGTAGAGCTTGCCTTGCTCTATCCAACGGTACTTTGAAGCCTATATAAGAATGAAAAGTGTATGACTTATTGCGGTTGAAATTCAAAACGTGCATTAATTATGAACCAACCTAATATTTAATGTGGTAAAAAATTTGGAGTGTTCTAAATTTTCTGAAAGTAATTGTCAAAATTAAGAGAAACCAACAAGCTGTTGACAGGCTAGCGATCATGAAAAATTGATTTCACTCTGACGTGTAGAAATTTCTACAAGGGGTGCAACTCCTACAGTGAGTTAGAAAATAGTAGCAGCTGCTATATAAGGTATAGGTGCTTTCATTCTCATTCTAAAATCTCCATTAAACATTTAGTTCTTAAGAATCATACACTTGTTAGGAAACCATAATTATCCTTTCTGCGCAATCGATCTTTTTTGCATTAAGGCAAGGGTTAGCCCGTCGCAATGACTTAATAGTCTCAGCTGATAATCGGATCGGGTCTTTTATATTCTTGTGAATCTCTATTCCTTCGCGGGGTCGATCCTTGCAATCGTTATTGCCAACCCTCTCGAAGTTGAGCCAGATGTACTCCGATTAGAAAAGTCTAATGTGTACTTATTGAGCTTCATATAAACAAGGTTCTCAATTTGAAAAGCCCATTTTGAGCTAACCAAAAGAAATACGTTTTTAAAGCTCCTTGAATATCACAGTAAACACAAGCATAAGTGCTTTCAAACATTTGAAAATGAAGTTATGAGACGAAATTTTGCTTCAAAAAAACCTTGACAAGGAAGTGCCGTCAAGGTCGGTCATAATTTTTACATTTGAAATTGGTAAGTTGTCATTGAAGGTCACTGCAAAGTGAACAGATTTGGTAACTGTTGGCGCTTTAATCTAATACTTAGGCTTTGAAAAAGTTTGCCCAATGCTCCAGAGAATGCACATTTTTGAAGCAGAAATACTTGTAAGCAATCAGAAATTTGAAGCAGTAAAAAACTTAGTTTTTTCCACGTAAAATGTAAAGCATAAGGTGGAAAGTTTTGGAAACAAGGATACGGGAAGATAATAGGAAGATTTAGGGGAAAGAGACGAGTGGAAGGTGCAGAATGAATTTTGACACATTGCCAAGAAGTTTCAAAATCAAAAATCTAAATAAAGTTCGTTAGACTCACTTTTCTTCTGTTGAGCGATTCTTCGCTGGACCCTGAAATCAACAAATTTTATATCCACTATTATCATTTTATTTTTTACTACAATCAATTTAATGATGATCTATTTATCAAAATATACCCTTAGAACATTATCAATGAGGAAATAACAACATCTACAGTTTTCGACGCGTTTTAACTACTACTTTTACCTTTTTTTGAACTTTTTAACCTTAGTGAAATGGTAACTGCTTAGAAATATGTTTCTCTAACATTATCAATGATTAAAAATCAAAATACCTGGCCGATCGTTCATCAAAACTTTTTTGTTTTCGTATAAGGGATGCAGACGACGCAAACGTGTGCGCAGCGCC